TTCAACAGTGAGTTCTTTGCAAATATGACTTCTTTAGAGTGTGATAAATAGATGTTGAGGGGAAAATGCATGGAAAGTGAGCTACTTCAGAGGTAGTATTAGTTGACACTGTCTCAGAAATAAGCTTTTGGGGCTTTGAGTGCAAACATTGGTGGAAGAGATTAGGAAGGCAGAGGCATCTGAGATTGTTTTAGACAGTGGGTTACTCCGTTTGGTCACTGTTACATCACTTTCATTGGAGAAACTAAAATGCACAGAAGCCAACTAAGTTCTCCAAAGTTATGTAGGAAGTTTTGTTATTAAATCCATGTATGTCTAACAAGAACTTAGCTTTTGAAGAAGTTGGGAAGCTGGAAGTATGTCCAAGTTTTAAAAAAAATTATTAATTTTTTGGCCAGATTTCCCCAGTAGAGATATAGCAAATAAAATTTTGTAGAACTGTTCCTGTAAAACAGTCATTTCATCAACTTCAAATGTCTAGATAATTTAATGAGACAAATTAATAGGTCATTACTTTATTCTCAATGCATTTAGAAAACTGGTTTCCTGTTACTATGTGTTTTTAAATGACACTTCTTAATGTGAAGTTGGGTTTTAGTAAGTAAGGGTGGCTGGTTTCCCTTGGATGGTGTTATGCTGCCTAGTAAGATTAGATACACATTCCAGCCAACACTGCAAATCTTGGGTGTTGGTTTTCTAACTATTGCTTGAAGCAAAGTGATCCCAGTGTTAAACAGACTTCATTGAACAGTGGCCATCTGTTTTTTCCTATGCCATACTTTCTAACTGCATTGGGGCCATAAGCCACATTAATAGTAGGATTGCTAAGGTTAGGACAAGGAAGGCGACTGGTCTATAACACGCTCTCACCGAATGTAGAAATTCAACCACTTTGATAAAGTATTTGATACTGACACATGAGACTTTAAGGCATCCATCTTTATTTCTTTTATCTTCTAAACAAGTTCATGTGTTAGCTAGTAATTTATAAATGCCAGCCACTAGATTAATTTATAAATCAGGTAACAAAATGCCTGTTTACTTATATGATTGGAGTCAGGTGAAGAAGTTCCTTTTTGAAAGCTAACAATTGTAGCGTTTTTGTTTATTCCCCAAATAAAACGTAGTGTTGTGATGCAAATCATGCCCAAGTGTTTGGAATGACTATAATCTGATTTAATATCACTGTTGTTTCTTTTGTGTTTAACAGTATTTATGATCAAATATGATTCACTCATTTGCATAACAGTAGGTTACTCACAAGTAAACTATTTTTAGCACTGTGAGTTTCTTGATCTAGGAAAATTCTGAGCAATAAAATATTGCTATAATCAGTTATCACAGCAAAAATGTTTAGATGAAAAATACAGATTTCCTTTAAATTGTGTCATCAATGAGTTTCTGGGAAACATCAGTGATAATATCAAAATGTATAAAATATGTTAACTTTTAAGTAGTATTGGTTTTACTCAGGTAATGACCGTGTTTATAGTCCTAGCTTTTTAAACAGAAATTCTGTGATAAATGGCGACTTGAGTCACAGGATGATTCACAAGCCCAGTTTAACCTAAAATTAAATAGCATAATGATGGTAGTTTAAGTCAGCTTGGATCAAGCCAAGCAAACGTTTGGAATAAGCGAGTCCTGTTGTCATGTTACTCATCTTGCTCTGGAGGGTGGGGTGCGCGCTCCCCAGAGCTTCCAGCCCGATGGTGCTGGGTGGAAAGCCAGTGTCTGCGCGTCTGCCGACTCCCTACTCCCAGGCCCACCGCACCTGGTTGGCCTCGGAAGACTCCATCCTTTTCAGCACAGGAGTGCAGGGACAAGTCGATCCATTTCAGACTGTTGTCTTACAGGAACCCTCTTCGTAATGTCCCACAATTCATAATCTTATTGCCAATAAATTCCACTGATTGTGGTGTTACCCAGTTTATAGGAAAAACATTTTAAGATTTTAAGATGCAACATTTATTTTTACATTTCTAATATAAATAATACATATTCAACTATATAAAATGTATTCACGCTTAAGCTTAGTAGATCATTATTACTTAGTGGATCATATTATTCTACTTAATAGGTGGTGGGGAGAACAGAATAAAAACGATATTATATTGTTTATAATACCCTCACAATGACAGTTGCCTGTCTTTGATGTTCTCTGGCTCTAGCAATTGTCTAATATAGCAGGGACTCAGAAATTATTTATTAAATAGAACTAAATATTTAGCAAAAATATTTTATTTCTTGGGGCAAACTACAATTCTAGGCCCACATGATTGCATCATTTTTACATTGGACTTATCAGAGGCAGGTGGACAGAGCCCGAGTCCTCGATTCACTGCAGATGTCTAGAGCAGCCGTGCTGGGCCAGGCTGAAGCTCGCAGCCACACAGAATCACCCGGGCCTTCCTCCTGGCGGATGCAGCTCCCTGCACCGCTACCTGTTGTCTCCTGGGGTCTGAGTTGTTAGCAGGAGGCTGGAGCACCCTGGCCCTGAATTCCCAGGCCCTCCAGTATGGGATGCAATTCAAGTTTCTGCTGTGAGACTTGGAGCCCTCGTAGCTCCTGCTGCTGCTTCCATTGACCGGGCGGTGGGTATCGGTGGGTATTGAAGAGAGCACACCCCGTGAGACTTGCAGAAATAATCATTAAATGTGTGCGAGTGGATTCAGTCATGACATCTTCATTTGACATGTCTTTGTTGTTTTTCTTCTTTCCCATCACACTGGGTGGCACATGTCAGCCTGAGACATATCTGTAAAGATGCTCAATGGAAAATACTGTACAGTCTTAGAATTATGTGTATTGATTCAGTCCCTCTGAAATCCCTGAGCTGGCTTCTGTCTCTGCGGCTGCCCTCTGCAGTCAGTAGCTAAATTATGGAGCTGGGATGATGGAGTTTACTTGTCCTGTCCAAGCACACTTTTTAGTATCTGATAACCATGGTTTACCTTCCTGGAATGTCAGCCAGTAATACCTGTGTGTGTGTTCCTAAAGAAGTCTCCCCCCCCCCCAAAGTTTGCCATTCAAACTGAACAAATATGTAAATTACAGGGACATTTTAATCTCCTAAAGTGTATTTCAAAATATTTTCAGTGACTAGGTTTGTTTTTTTAAAAAAGCACTCAGTGGAATCGGTCATATTTATAATTTTCAGTAGAATTGAATAAATATCTCACTACATGTGTTCCTGCATGCCTCTCTGATCTCCTTATCTGTAATTTAATTGCATGCTTCCTAGTAAGTTCATGCTTAAGTCTTCGTGTGGCTTGCATCCCAGAATACTGACAGATATTATTTCTGAACAGATTGTATATCAATATTGTGAAATATCATGTACTTAAAGTAGGGAGCGATGTGAAGTACGCAGAGTTAGGCCTGACCGATTGCGGGATATGAATGCCTGTGCCTGTTTGGGGCTTTGAAATCTTGACCCGTCCGTCCTTGTCACAGACTTTCATCATGTGTGATGCTCCTCTCCCTCCTGTGGGACAAGCATCGGACACCATGGCACAGCAGTTACGCTGCCCCCTAACCTGCTCTGAAATCTGCATCCCATACCAGAGCTGCTTTAGCACCCAGCTGCTTCTCCTCAGGTCCAACTTCCTGCTAGCGCACCCCTGGGGGCAGCCGGTGATGGCTCAGAGATCTCTGGGCCCCTGCCACTCTTGGGCGAGACCCAGATGGAATTCTGGGCTCCTGGCTTTGGCACGGCTCAGTTGTCACTGACCTTTGGGGATTGAATCAGTAGATGCTGAATCATCTCAAGATTTATTTTATGTGTATTTGAAAGGCAGTGTTAGAGAAGGAGAGAGAGATCCTCCATTTGTTGGTTCACTCCCCAAATGGCTGCAGTGACTGGGGTTGTGCCCATTGAAAGCCAAGAGCCACTTGCACATCTCCGCATGGGTGCAGGGACCCAAGGAATTGAGCTGTTCTCTCTGCATTCATAGGCCATAAGCAAGGAACTGGATCTGAAATGCAAGCAAAGGCTTAGGGCGCTATGCCACAGCACCAACCCCTGTCTGCTTTTCTGTCACTCTGCCATTCAAGCAGATGATAATTTTAAAAACTTTAAACTATATGCTAGCATTGCACTTTTTTTTTTTTTTGGAGGAGGAGAGGCTGAAAGTCAAAAGGGAAGGCAGAGTTTCACCAGCTTCATCGGGTCAGTGTGCAGGCAGAAAGGACAATCGTGGCCAGGGTTTCATTCGCTGGTGAGCACATGGTTCTAGAGAACCGTCTAAAGTGTCCTTTTTAAATTCAGATGCACCGATAATACCTGAGAAGCCTGTGAGGTTCACTGGGGCTCACTCACTGACTATCACAATGAAAAAAGGGAGGAAGTATTTGTTGAAAGTAAATGTGTGCAGACTTTAGATGCATTTTCCTTAATGAAGGAGCACTGGGAGGAACATTGCAGGGATGCACAGCAAGTATTTGAATAGGGCCTATTTTTATCTAAAACCGAAAAAATAAGAAATATTTCTATTAGTGTCTGGATAGGTCAATGTTGTCCATACTTTTTCAATTCTGAGTTCTTTGGTGGCTCTGCTTTCAGCCCAGCTTAGTTGCTTTTAACAGTAGAAATCGTCGGTTCTGAAGTGTTCCTTTGTTTTTATTTTTGAAGATCACTTGGGCATAAAAGAGCCTCAAGTCTTTTTGTTTATTGTTGTTGTTGTTTAAGCTGTTTCTTGCCGCAGTGTTGCACTTATGATTGCTAACAAATAGCAGATTAATTTGCTTCTTGACGTATAGTTTGAAAATTGGAGCTTGCTAAATCAAGTATTCGACCGTGCTCGTGTTATTCACCATTCACTTCTTTTAATCATTGAATGTAATGTTACTTAGCGTTAATCTATACTCATAAACTCTGAAAATTTATGGTCGGTTTTGATGAGTAAAACAGGATGTTGTCATGTGTGAACTTGAAAAATGCAAGCTTTCTTAACATTTTTGGTTTAATGGTATGAAGTGTGAGTTCTTGTTTTTTCCAGCTGCCCGCAGACTTCACCAAGCTGCACCTCACGGACAGTCTTCACCCACAGGTAACCCACGTGTCTTCCAGCCACTCAGGATGCAGCATCACCAGCGATTCTGGAAGCAGCAGCCTTTCTGATATCTACCAGGTAAGAAGGGGCCTTCCTGGTTACAATTCCGTTTTCCCCTGTTCCAGGGAGTTTCTCGATTCTCAATGGCACGCATAGTAGGCACGCATGCGTACACGGATCATGACTTACAGGGCACACAGACATGTAGCATGTTGTGTGTTTTCTCTGACAAGTGTCTGCTGTTACCAGTTATCAAAACCGTCAATAAAATGGTTGGAATGAGTAGTTTCTCCTGATTTTAAATCTTACGCATTTGATGGCGGCCATAATGCTGTAGAAGAAAATTGGAAAGTTCTTAGTATGACAAAAGAGAGGGATTAAGACTGAATCATTCGGTTATACTTCTTGTGCTTTTAAAAAGTTACCTGTAGACTTAGCTATCTATTTAAAGAAATTCTTACAGTAATGATGGATGGGAAATCTACTAGAAATATGAAATGAAAAGAAAAAAAAAATGTCCTTTCGATTTCTTCCCAGCAGTGGGATAGCTGGGTCATACAGCCGACCAGCGCTCAGCTGTCTGGACACTCTCCATACTGGCTTCCATGGCCTTGTACATCCCACACTGTCCCCAGCAGAGAAGGGCGCCTTTCTCCCCACATCCATGCCATCCATGGCAGGTGTTGGTAGAGTTCCAAAGGTGGGCCAGTCTCACTGACGGCTAGGGAGCCTGAGCATTTGTTCATGTCTTTTTCATAACCGTTTGAATTTGTTCTTTTGAAAAATCCTTCACCCATTTCTTCACAGTATTGTTGGTTTTGCTTGGATCTGTTGAGAATTTGATAAACACTGATGCCATTTTGAGTGTTAAAGATCTCAGATAGGAGTAGGTCTGGGTAGTTTTACCTGCTCGTGCACACACATACACGTACACCTGTGTCCAGTTTTTGGAAGCTGATTTTTAAAAAACTTTTATACAAACACTTGCCGATATAGAATGGTGAAAAGTTTGAGTAAAAGTTAGGCTGTGATTTATATTCATTGAAACATGACGGCAGAGTCTCCGACCTCAAACTTTGAAATAATTATCCAGATATCACTGCTTTCTTCAAACAGACGGACCTGTGGAAGGCGAATGTATGGTAATAAGAATGTGGCATCTTGTTTCTGGGTTTTCTGAAGAGAGTCTTGGCCTTGGTGCCGCTGCCCTGGGTCAGGGTGAGTGCCTGAGGCTGTTCTGGTTGCTGTGGTGGTTTCCCCAGCCGCCACCAGAGTGGGAAGCCAGGCTGAGGATGAGAGTCCCTGCTTGTCCTGGCGCTGCCGGAACTCGCAACCGCCATCCGGACTCTATATTTGGATATGGATGGAGAGGGGGGCCCTCCAGGACAGCATTTTCATTCATTTAGTTGAGTTTTAAAACTATTCATTTTATTTCATTTCTTCAAAACGTGTTTTTTCTTCTTAAATTCTTCACTGACCAATAGGTCATACAAGAAGCTCTAGATTTTCTTTTTCATTTCTTCAACAGTGCATTATTCATTCGGTAGCATGTTACTTAATTTCGTGGCATGGCAAATTTCTATTCTTCCTGTTGGTTTTATTTTGTGGCTTTTCATTTAAGGGGATGTATAGAAACTGTGTAATGGAGATGATCGTATTTTATGCATCTCTACTTTCAGATCATAGATGGACTCCCAATGAAACTGTTCAATATATCTTGACAATAGGATGCTGGACTCTGCCATTGTGCATACCAGCAATGATGGGCTTATAGCTGAACAAGTATGCTGTTGGAATAGCATAGGGGAAATCAGTTGGGATGGGGGGAGGGAAGTTGGCTAGGGGGCCAAGGGAATTCCCAGAGCCTGTGGAACAGTATCATTAAGTAATAATAATAGTAACTATTATTAATATTAATGAATGTTATCAATATAATAGTAAATTATCATTATGATATAGGAAAAAAGAATTTATATAAAAAGAGAGCTAAGAAAGTATTCATTTTAAACTTGATCATTGGCATGCTACCTATACATTAATACCTGTAAAGGTAATCTCATGAATTGGATCCAGAGTTGTGGTACAGCGAGTGCCTGTGATAGCAGCATCCTGTGTGGGCACTGGTTTGAATCCTGGCTGTTCCACTTCTGATCCAGCTCTCTGCTAACCAGGAAAGCAGTGGAATATGGTCATAGTTCCTGGACGCTAGCATCTACATGGGAAACCTCTGTTAGGTTCCCAGCTCCTGGCTTTGGCCTGGCCCAGCCCAGCCCAGCCCAGCTTGTAGCCATTTAGGGAATGAACTAGCAGATCAAGTGTGTCTGACTCTTCTACCTTTGTAACTCTGCCTTTGGTAGCAAAATGTTATTGAGATGAGAGGAGGAGAAAGGTAGAAGTATGGAGTGGAATGACTGACTGTAGCAGAAGCACCCCTCTGTTTTAATGGATACTCATCCCAGTTGATAGGGCATGAGGAATTTGAAAGTTGAGTTGGTTCCTGTCCTCTGGCCTCTATTTTCTCTCTGAAGAATTGAGTTCATTTGTGGAGATGGAGAGGGCTCATGGGTAGGCAGCTTTAAGAAGAGGGAAATTTCGAAGTAATAGTTACAGAGTAGGAGAGCAAATTGGCCAGAAAAGTGGAGGCTCAATTGAGTTGGTGCCCTCCAATCTCAGTCATTTCCTTCTGCCCTGGTGAGTAATTTTCTCCGTAGTAAGCACAAGGAAAGCAAAGGTTTGACTTCACACAGGATTGAAGTTTTGCCAAATGCGTATAATACGAAGACAGATGAATGCACATGCCAACCGTCTCGTAAGTGCAGACCCTGACATGTGAACCCCTCTGCCTGGGATGTGTTCTCCTCTGCCTTCATTTCCAAGTGCCATGTCCTCGTAGCATTCTTCCCTACTACCCTCTGTGATGGAGTCCTGCACACTGATTGCTTTCTTGGCTGGTCCTTTTCTTCCTGAATTGTCACTGAACAGATACTGCATATTGCGTTTGGCGCACCAGGAGGACAGCTTCACAAAGGCAGGGAACTTGCCTGCCTTATTTACAAAGCCAAATATGGTGCCAGGAAATCGTAAGCATTCAATAAACATGTTCTAAAGAAATCTAACTGAAACAGATTGGGAGAGATAAGCTAGTTATGAAAGGAAATTCAGACAGAAAAATGTGTGTTGGACACAGAAGGTAGTAAAGTTGACAGAAGATGTGACTGGAGTTGGAAGCAAAGGGAAGGCAGGCTGATAGGAGGCTGGCCAAGGGATGGGGAATACCTGTTAGTGACGAGAGTCAGTGCCACTGGGAGCCACAGGAAGGGCCTGGTCGCATCACGACGCCGTCACCGCTGGTTGCGTAGCTGGGCCAGTGTGCCAAAGTAAGTAAGTACAGCAGTTTGAGCAAAGCAGAACTCACGTAAGACTGTGGTGTGTAGGAGAGCAATCCTGATCAGTCACTGACGAGAACAATGGGTTATTAAGTACAAGGAGGCCTGGAAGGGTCACAGGAAAGCAGTCACGTTTGTTACGTTGCCAAAAAATGTGAATGCTATGTACCGTTTTATTGTAATAAGCAAACGGGTGCAGGGTGGAGATGGCCATTACGGCACTAACTGATAAAAAACATTTTCTTTACTAACAGTTCGTCACAACTAAAGATTCTTAATCTTTTGTTTTTGTTTTCTTTTTTGTTTTTTTTTTAACTCAATCTTAAAACAGTAGACTAAGATAAGGAATGTATTTTACAGTGTTCCAAATAAATCGTGTCATTAAAAATTTTTTCAAACATATCATTTAATATAAAAATTATATTCAAGTCCTCTGTGCGTTGGAGTCTGTTTTCCAAAACGGAACCTCATTGGTGGAAGAGGTCGTAGTTGTTTGCCACCTGTGTATATTCCAACCTCTAAGGAACAAATTCTTCAAAAACTAACATTCATTAAAATAGTAACTTGGAGGATTAATTTGATTTAGACCGAACCAGTCCCAACCAGACAATCAAACATTTGTTTCTGTCCTTGCCTTTGTCTTTCAAGCCAACGGAGCAGGGAGCAGACGTTACACAACTTTCAAAGGGAATTCATTTCACTTTGTTGTTGTGAATACAGTTCCTATAAACCGGGCTGGGCCAGGCTGGGGGCTCGAGGAACTCCGTCCAGCTTTCCCACGTGAATGGCAAGGGCCTAACTACTGAAGACGTCACCTCCGCTTCCCAGGACAGGCACCAGCAGGAAGCAGAGGATGAAGCAGGAACTCCAAAGGGAACGTGCCATTCCAACCAGCGTCTCAGGGACTATACATCAAGTGCACAGCCGGAACACAACACATTTTAAATGCGTTAAAGGCTCGAGTGAAGTGCTAATTCTAAATATTAACAATGAATTCTGTGCAATAATGTCAAATCAGACGACGATGGTGCATGCCTACACATTGTTGGGATGGTAGTCACTGGGAGGTGTTGATGATGCAAATGAAGATGCCTTCGGGTAGAGGATACTGTGAAAGTGCGTGAAGCTGCCACTTGGGCTGTCTGCATCTTATTTCAGAGTACCAGCTTGGTCCCCAGCTCCACTTCTGAGAGTCAGTAGATGAGGACTCAACCCTCAGAAGAGGGAGGAGATCTTCATGGAGTCTTCGGCTCCTGACTTGGTTGCGGCCCGGCCCTGGCCCTGGCTGTTGGAACCATTTGGGAAATGAAGCAGTTGACAGGAGACATCTTTGTCTTTGTTATCATGCTTCTAATGAAAAAAGTAAATATTATTGAGCAGAGAAAGGAATTACTGTTCTGTGTTTGAGATAACCCAATAGAAGAGAACATCTTCAAGCGTGATTGTACTAAATAGGAAAGTATGGAAGGATTAGTGCATGTCTTAGCTTGAAACTTAGTTGGCGATGCTGTAGCAGTAGTTACAGTTGGTGAATGGCAGGAAAGAATGTATTATCTGTAGGCATCTGGTCTCCCATACTGTTGGTTGATTTGTAATTTGAGTGTGGTCATTGGAATAGTCTGATTAAGCGTTAATGTCTTGTTTGTGTACTTATCAGATTACCTCTGATTTGTGATTCCCATTTTCATAGAGACTGTATAATGGGTAAAAGTGGTTTGGCTTGCTTGTCATTAACAAAATCACACCTATTCTTCTGCAAAAGGAATTGCTTGTAATGAATAAATTGTCACCCTTGAGCTTTATGTGAGAACGTTCTCTTTGAAAAATGGAATGAAAACAAGTATCTTGTTCCTTTTAATTCTACTTGGTTTCAGATACCGTATGATAGCTCAGATGAAAAATCATAATTACTGATAAAAACCATCAATCCTGACCCAAAGCTATTAAGGAGATAACTTATTCCTGTTTTGTTGAAGTAACTCTTTTATGCCGTATTGTCTGGGATGTAAATAGTCATTGGATTCTCAATACTTCTCATTTAATTGTGGAAAAGAGTGAACATTGTTCTTATGTCTTTGAGTATTCCCCCAGAAGACTGCCTTAGAATCATTAAAAATAAAATTTTGTTTTTGTTTTGCCTTGCATTTTTTTTCCGGGTTAAGGCCACGGAGAGTGAGGCTGGTGATATGGACCTGAGCGGGCTGCCAGAGACGGCCGTGGATTCTGAGGATGACGACGACGAGGAAGACATCGAGAGGGCTTCCGATCCCCTGATGAGCCGGGACATTGTGCGAGACTGCCTGGAGAAGGACCCGATCGACAGGACAGACGATGACATCGGTCAGTAGAGTGACAAAATCCATCCAGGAGTAATCGGAAATACCAAGAGGGAGAGTTGTCTCATGCAGTGCATTGCCAGACTTAGACGGTTTTGAAAAGTCACTGATCTATGAGCTTCTGTACAGCTGTGTGGAAAGCTTTTTCTTTGTGTGTAGTAATGAGGCAGTCAGTATCTCCAAGACTGTGTAAATGAAATTAGGAATATAACTTTGTAGTAAAATCTCCCATATGCTGCTTTTAGTATATGAACCCCCCAAAGGGGAGAAAGCTAGCAGTGATCTTCAAAGCAACATTGCCTCTGTTATTGTGCTAAGCTCATGTTCCTCTAAGTACACAGTAGACCAGACATGGCAGGGAAAGTTGCAACAGAAATGAATTTGATTCTATTGATTATGTAAGGAAGGTGACAGCAGGTGGAAGAGGTTGACCAGCTGTCAGTTTAGCAGCATGCTGCCTGCAAAAGCTGACTGGGACTATACCCACAAGCTTGGACATTTCACTGACTTTATCCACTTTTCCTTGGAGCAACTTTGGCTGTGGTGGAGGACACCGTCCCAGACCTAGCTTTTTTCCTGGCATAAATCCAGAGAGTGAGTGAGGAAAGACATACAGATACTTTGCATCCACTGCTTCACCCCCCAGGTGGCCTCAACAGCCAGGGCTGAGCCAGTGGGAAGCCAGTAACTTCCTCTGAGTCTCCCACATGAGTGCAGGTCCCTAAGTGCTTGAGCCCTCCTCCACTGCTTTCCCAGGCCATAAACAGGGAACTGGATCGGAAGTGGAGCAGCGGGACTAGAACTGGTGCCCATGTGGATGGTAGCACTGAAAGGCAGAATATTAGCTTGTTGATCTCCATCCGTGCCAATTTAAAAAAGAATCCTTTATTGTAGTTTTAAAGAAAGATTGAAATTAGAAGTGTGCTGAATTTAGCATCTTAATCCAGAATCTTTGCTCATGGCTGTTTCTGTTCTTTTAATCAGATGAACACATAGATCTAGAAATTGTCTTTTGGCATCTCTTGAATCTGTTCATTGCAGCAGAGTGGTGAAAGAGGGTCAGTAACACGTGTAACAAGCTTGCCATTCCTGGAAATTTAAGGTTTTCATTCTATGTATGAGAATCCTTCTCTCTCAGAATTTCTGGAAAGCAGGAACTGTACTTTTTGCTACCAATAAATGTAAAATTGTCTCTTTTTCAGGAAATGTGCTTGTCAGTATTATACTTTTCAGGAAATCACATTTGTTCCAATACAGAACTGCTTGGAAGCAATGACAATTCAGATGCTTCCTGTTGTAAAATATACATGTATATACAGTAATACGTCATTAACATTGAAGAGGAGGCCTAACAAGTGATTTACACAAGATCTTGAAAAAAGTTTTATTGTAACCCTCAAAATAACATAGCAGAACTCTATAACTCTTTTGCTATTAAAGTATTTAGTTAAAACCATACATGTTTTATAAGAACTACAAACACCTATGTGATGGTAATTTTTTTTTAGATTGCTTTGTTCCTTTTTCCCTTTCTTCATGCCAGCAAATAATAAAAGGGAGAGATCTTTGTCTACACTTGTGTACACATGAATGTTAAAACAAATGAAGTCACTGATATTTGACCTTCCTTTTGAAGGGTAGAGAGAGACACAGAATTCCCAGCTCTTGGTTCCCACTCCCAGTGTCTGCAGTGGCTGGAGCTGGGTGGGAACTGGGAGCTGTGTAGGTCTTTCATGGAGCTGCCAGGAGCCCAGTTACCTGAGCCGTCCCTGCTGCCCTCTGGGATCTTTGGTAGCAGTAACCCATGGTCAGGAGCTGGGACCCAGCCCCAGGGCTCCAACATGCAGCCGTGCCAACCACCAGGCAGAGCCGCTGCCCTTGAGCATGTGTTCAACCACTGCAAGGAGAAAAAATTCCTTCAGGTTTCCTTAGATTCTTGGCTAATACTTCGTCTCAATACTTTGAAGAGAGGGCCTTTATCCTGGTTCTTTTTGCTCCAGAATTCCTAACTTTATAGGCACTCAGTTGTTGAATAGTTTGTTTGTTTGTTTTATTCAGAGGACTTAATATATTAGGATTACTTATGATAATTCTTTCAAATACTTCCTTTCCTTTCTGCTTCATGTCTTACCCACCTCCAAAAAACTCCAGAATTCTTTTTAAATATTAATTTCATGCCTTTTAAAATATTTGATTCAAGCAAACCAAGATAAACAAATTTTCTGAGTTGGCTTTAGCTTCTGGTGTCCATAAACTGATTTTTTTTTTCTTTTCTTTGTGCCACATGGGCCAAACACTTTAAAGATGAATGTTTTTCATACACCGAATTATTCTTTTCCTAATAAAATGGGATTTTACCCAGTAGTCTGTCATCCTAAAAGAATAGTAGATGATTTTAGTATTTCTTCTATGGATCAGAAAAGGCAGTATTACTGCTTCTGCCCTCTGTAGCTGCTGCATGGTGCCTGTGTTGGGCACATCCCGGTGGTGCGTAGCAGTTTTCACATGTATTTATCAGACTGCTGTGCATTGTTTCATTTGCTAATTTTTATGAATGTGATTCATAGCAGATATCCCTTAGATTATTTCTTAATTAAAGGCAGTTATTCATACTGACTGTTTTATTCATTCACTTGCTTTTAAACAATTAGCACTTGAATGGACTTGCTGATTCGTTGGGCATTCTCAGCGCTTCACTGCATATCAGCTCTCAATGCTGATTAGCTCTCAGCTATATTATAGCTCATGTCAGTTGAAATTTCCATTTGAAGTTTAGGGATTTCTTCAGTGCCATAAAAATTTGAGTTATGGGGCCCGGTGCGATGGTGTAGTGGTTAAGGTCCTCGCCTTGCACGCCCGGGGTCCCATATGGAAGCTGGTTCTAATCCCAACAGCCCTGCTTCCCATCCAGCTCCCTGCCTGTGGCCCGGGAAAGCAGTCGAGGACGACCCAAAGCTTTGGGACCCTGCACCCGCTTGGGAGACCCGGAAGAGGCTCCTGGCTTCGGATTGGCTCAGCTCCAGCCGTTGCGGCCGCTTGGGGAGTGAATCATCGGACGGAAGATCTTCCTTTCTGTCTCTCCTCTCTGCATAACTGCCTTTCCAATAAGAATAAAATAAAATCTTAAAAAAAAAATAAACTATTTTCATCACAAGTGTTTAAAAAAAAATAACACACATGCAAAAATTTGAGTTATGATGAAAGCAGTTGCTTCTGAATCCATAAGGGAATGTTACCATTTCTGAATATTTGCTTTAAATAAAAGTTAGTTTGACAAGGAGTACATTTTACTTGCTTTTCAGAACAACTCTTGGAGTTTATGCACCAGTTGCCTGCTTTTGCCAATATGACCATGTCGGTGCGACGAGAGCTCTGTGCGGTGATGGTGTTCGCCGTGGTGGAAAGAGCAGGGACGATAGTGTTGAATGATGGTGAAGAGGTGAGTAAACACTCCGACCACTGCTGTTCGTGTGACGATCTGAAACAAAAACCCATGTATTTTTTTAAAAAAGTATTTTAGTTTTTAGAAACCAGATATCATTGCTTCTTGGCCTTTTGGCTAAGATTAAGTATAGAAACCAAATATTATAAATCTGAATAAATCAAGGATTTTGATGTGTTGTTTGTCATGGTATTCCAGACTCACTATTTTCCATTACAAAAGCATTTTGCACACTGTTGGCAGATTTTTTTGATGCATTAACTTTGCAGTTGTTGAAACTTAAATGTTCCTGTAGTACTTCTGTTAGGATAAAACGTTATTCTTACCGAGGTAATGATTCTGCTTTACGTCTGTGTGCTTGGTGAGGCAGAACAAGTATTTTTCTTTGTAGAAGAACATGCAAAGTTAGAAGGGCAGACCGACACGTCCTCTGCTTGCTGTGTGAAAGTGTGTAGAGATGTGGCTTTTGTTTTGTGATCTTGGTGAGCAGTTCACTTCCATTTCACTTGCCTTCAGTGGAGGACCAGGGAAGTCCTTCCAATATTTTTGAAAAGTGTGCTTATGATACTATTTCTCCCTTTGTCTTTTTTTTTAACTAGCTGGACTCCTGGTCAGTGATCCTCAATGGTTCTGTGGAAGTGACTTATCCGGATGGAAAAGCAGAAATACTGTGTATGGGCAATAGTTTTGGTGTTTCTCCAACAATGGACAAAGAATACATGAAGGGAGTCATGAGGACGAAGGTGGACGACTGCCAGGTATAAACCAGGGCCCTTGCTGGTTCAGTAAAAAGCATTCGTGTGCAATCGTGGTCAGGTTTCTTGTGTCCTCTTTCTGATTTACAGATAGATTACTTCAAATTTTATCATACTCCTGGAAGGTGTTTAAGAGTTCTGGTTTTATTAATGAATTGGTGTTATCTGATACAGAGAGATGGAAGTATTCTCCCATGTGCCAGCTCATTTTCTGAATGCCTGCAACAACCAGGTTTGGGCCAGATTGCAGCCAGGAGCCTGAATCTCAAGTCAGGGACCCCAAATAAATGCATTGCCTGTTTGGGATAACCCTTCAGGGCATTTCTAGTCAAATGTCAGATTCACCCATAAGACGGGCTCCGGAAGTTTTCATTGTTCTACGGACCATATTGTAAGGAAGTAGCGTTTGTCGAATGCAGTGAGCAGATGTGGTAATAGCTTTACCAAGCTAAAGCAGGGATGATTCCATCCAGGATGATTGAACTCAGGTTAAGCATTTGCTCTTGTCTTCTCACTGCCGTCTGGCTTATTTGTGAAATGAGTGTTAAACTTCTTTAAAATTGTTAAACTTCTTGTTAAACTTCTTTAAAATTGTTAAACTTCTTTAAAATTGCTAAAGAGCATAATTACATGCTTGACCCCAAGTCCTGAAATATTTTGTATTTGGAGTCGAGGAAAAGCAGTCACCTGATTGAAACCTTTGGTATAGAGGATTAACTGTTATGATGCCAGTTACAAATAATGGTTTGACCTGCAAAAAACATGTGGGCTGTTTTGTGACCTTTTTTGAATGGTCACTGTGAAATGGAATGTTGTCATTATAATCCACAAATTTATGCACTGCATGAGCATCTTCGAATTTTTCTGTTTGCCTTAGAACTATTTTTAAATTTCTTTTGAAAGTCTTGCAAGGGTCGGTGTCTGGCACAGGCATAGAGCTGACAACAGGGATACCCACGAGCTCTGTCAAGCCCAGCTTCACTTCTGAAAACTCCTGCCTGCTCATGTGCACACTCCAGCACTCTGGCACCTGGAACCTGCCTCCCATGTGGGAGACCCTGCTAGAGTTCTAGACTCTTGGCCTCTGCCTGGCCCGGCCTTGGCTTGTTGGGAACACTTGGGAGGTGAACCAGATCTCCCTGCCTAGATTTCTTACTCTACTTTTCAGATAAATGAAAGTAAATGTATACTTTAAAAAAAAATAAGAAGTTAAATCTTTAAAATTTTTTTGGAGTCAGTGATTGGTAATAACGTTTTTATGTCTAGCCCCCTAGGACTCCCCTGCCCTTCCCTCATGTTTCCTAACTGAAAGAAGCATGAAAAAGAACCCTTCCAATTTTGTCTTCAGGTTTTTAAAATTTTTTGGCTTTTGGATGTAAATTACATGTGTCTTTAAGATGTAACTTGTTGAGCAAGAATAAAATACATTAAAAGTAGAGGTTCTTGATTAAGGCTCAGCACTGCATTCATCTAGACAGTAAGGGAGACAGGGAGAAATGTATTAAATCGTTAAAGGACTGAGCTACCAGTACTGCCAGGACCTTTGCGGGTGCTTTATGATGAATATGTGACTTCCGTTGCATTCCAGTTTGTCTGCATAGCCCAACAAGATTACTGCCGTATTCTCAACCAAGTAGAAAAGAACATGCAGAAAGTTGAAGAGGAAGGGGAGATTGTTATGGTGAAAGAACACCGGGAACTTGATCGAACCGGAACAAGGAAGGGGCACATTGTCATCAAAGTAAGACAAAGAACCATCCCTGCTCCGCTTGGAAAGCAAGGGTGCAAATGCAACACTGTGTGTGTGTGTGTGTGTGTGTGTGTGTGAGAGAGAGAGAGAGAGAGAGAGAGAGAGAGAGACAGAGAGAGATTCTCAGGCATATTTAAAAGCTTTATTTTTAAGAGGATTTTTTCCCTATCAAAAGTTATCAATTGTAAAAACAAACAAGAAAAAACCCCTTTCTCTTAATGAATTGCACATGACTATTAAGATTGCTGCCCAGTTTGTTGTGCGGTTTTGGAGGCGAGTGTGTGTTTGGGATAACCCTTAAGCTTTCTGTTGGTTGCAGGGCACCTCGGAACGGTTAACCATGCATCTGGTGGAGGAGCACTCGGTCGTAGATCCAACGTTCATCGAAGATTTCCTGTTGACCTATAGGACTTTCCTTTCTAGCCCAATGGAAGTGGGCAAAAAGTTGTTGGAGTGGTTTAATGACCCGAGCCTCAGGGATAAGGTTAGAAATGTTTCCTTTTTGAGTACTAGGTGTAAAATATTGAAAGATAAAATTAGAATCGTTTTCATTCATATTTATGAAATAGGATTATTTTTTAAACCGAATATTTGGTGATTCAAATATTAGTTTGGTTATAGATCTTTAAGTTTATCCCAAGAGGTTTTTCTTTTTTCTTAAAATCTGAATGCAAATGACACTGACTGCTAGATGTTGGAGTTTTAGCTCTGTCGGGATCATGTTTTCACATAGCCAGAGAACTAGAATCTCTGGTAATCTACATTCTTTCATTTGAAAAAGTCAGAATTTCAGCATTTTTATCAGAACAGCCTGAACAGATTGCCGCACAGCACCTGCCTTAGGACCTGGCCACACCTTGCTGGGCGGTTCCATCAAGGCCAGACTAGATAATACACGGTGTGGTTCTCTGGTTCTCTGTCTTCTTTGCCCCCCTCTCTTAAATAGCATGGTCCCGTAGGCAGCTCTTTCTCTGTGTTCTTTTGTGTTAAGGTTAATGCCTTTGCTTTTTTTCTTAATTTGCTTCAAATATGTTTCTAAAAGAAAGCAAAATGTAAATTAAATACCTTCACAGGTTGTTTTGTGTGTGTGTGTGTGTGTGTTAGCCACACATAAAGCCTGTATTCAAAATATGAGTATTTTCTGTTTCTCCCTCTCTCTGTAATGCTGACTTTACAATCTTTTTAAAATTGGATATTTTAAGGTAATTTTAATATGAATAAATCCTTATTGAAAGTTTTAGTGCTGATTTTTTTTTCTTTCATATTAGGTAAATTTTCTTCAGTGTTATTCGATTTGTTGGAATGAATGCATTTTTTTTTTTTTTTTTGCAGATTTTTAACATTCAAAGAACTTACAGAGAATCTGTTTTTTTCAGGTCACACGGGTAGTGTTATTGTGGGTGAATAACCACTTCAATGACTTTGAGGGAGACCCTGCAATGACTCGATTTCTGGAAGAATTCGAGAACAACCTGGAAAGAGAGGTAATAGTTGATTTTTTTTTTCCCACATATAGGAGGTGAAGATGACCTTCATTTTATTTGGCTGTGTTTTGAGTTGACGCCTCTCTTTCTGAATTCTTACAGAAAATGGGTGGCCATCTGAGGCTGCTTAATATCGCCTGTGCTGCCAAAGCAAAGAGAAGGTTGATGACCTTGACGAAGCCCTCCCGCGAAGCCCCGCTGCCTTTCGTCCTGCTCGGGGGCTCCGAGAGGGGCTTCGGGATCTTTGTGGACAGCGTTGATTCCGGGAGCAAGGCAACCGAAGCGGGTTTGAAGCGTGGGGACCAGGTAGGAGACTTCCAGATCCAGATTGGTGGGAAAATGTTCGTTGTCTTCGTCTTCTTCAGACGGAGGAGATGATCCTGTCGTTAACTTTATCATTTCCTTCTCAGATATTAGAAGTGAATGGCCAAAACTTTGAAAATATTCAGCTATCAAAAGCCATGGAAATTCTTAGAAACAACACGCATTTATCTATCACTGTGAAAACTAATTTATTTGGTAAGAATTTCTGTGTGTTCTCATTCTTGTCCCTTTGGTCTTTTTAAGAATGCAAACATGGTCTACGGCCATAGCACCCTGAACGCGCCCGATCTCGTCTGATCTCGGAAGAATGCATACATGCAGCTCTTAATCATGAGTGAAGTCATTTTGTGTTATTTCAGGCATCATAAATATCAAAGTATTTACAAGTAAAATCCAAAACAAATAGAATTAATCACGTAAGACCATGATTAGAACCAAAAATATCTGTTCACTTGAAGCCCATAAAAACTGTCTTTATAATCTGTCCTTAGTATTCAGTGAGACCAAAACACTAAAACACTTGCATGTTAAAGAGCATAATGCCTATTATTCCAATCAATATATAAAAGATTCTTGATATCATTTGCTTATTGGAGTAAGGTATGTCTGCAGGACTGTAATTTTGATAGCTGAAGTCTGTACTGCCCACAGAACTCCAAGATCCACAGTGTTCTGGGTTTTTTTTGTTTTAATATTTGATGTTTTATTGTTTTTCCGTATTTTCTAGTATTTAAAGAACTTCTAACAAGACTGTTAGAAGAGAAGAGAAATGGTGCCCCTCATCTTCCTAAAATCGGAGACATCAAGAAGGCCAGTCGCTACTCCATTCCAGACCTTGCTGTGGATGTAGAACAGGTGATAGGACTGGAAAAAGTGAATAAGAAGAGTAAAGCTAACACTGTTGGAGGGAGGAACAAGCTGAAGAAGATACTCGACAAGACTCGCATCAGCATCTTGCCGCAGAAACCGTACAAGTGAGTGTCTGCAAGCTTCCTGTGTGTTCTCTAACTGTGCCCAAGTGATATGCAGCGGTGGTGTTATGATTAATATTTGCACTTAAGGTTGATGAATGCGTATTTTGAGCTTTTATGGACGAGCTGTCTTGGAAGCATTGTTGGACCATCAAGCTTGTTCTCCCTCTGTTTTTGCTACTTATTTGTCCATTCCTAAACTTGATGAAGTATAGCGCTTCTTCGTTTGAACTCTGTCATTTTTTATCTGAACTTCTTAAAAGTACCTGTGCCTCAGCCACCATCATTTGTTTTTTGCTGCAGTACCTTTTTTTTCTGAGTATCTTTTCTACCTTCTGCATCTGTTCTTGACCAATCAAATCACAACCTCCTCCAGCTGTTACTCACCCCCGCTGATGACTTTGCCTGCTGCCACATCACCTTTCAATGCTGTAGCTACTGAACCCAGCAACTGAGCCCAGGCCACCTCTGTAGCAAGAATGTCCACTGTATTCTTGACTTGGCAGTGGTGTGCTTAAGCCAGGAATTCAGAACAGACAGCATTGCTAGGTTTCTTTTTTAGCCTTGCTTGCTTATGTCTTAGATGCTTTGTAAAATTCCTCTACCATAATCCATTATTTTAAATGATAAGTAACTTAATGTGCCATATACATAACAGATTCTTCAGGCCAGGCTAAGCAAAGACTTAGGATCATTTAATCAGTCTAAAGAGAAGCAGAAGATATCACGATAAACCAAGCATCTATTTTTAACTGCATTTGAGATAATATTTCATCAGAGATAGGAGTTAAATATACTACTCACAGGTTAGGTATCAAACTTGTGTTTTCCACAATGAACTTCATAGAAATGATTGATGCTTTAATATTACAGATTTCAAAAACAGGATCCTAGGTCCCGGCACAATAGCCCAGTGGCTAAATCCTCACCTTGCATGTGTCATATGGGTTCCATATGTCCCAGCTGCTCCAGTTTCCTTCCAGCTCCTTCTTGTGGCTTGGGGAAGCAGTCGAGGATGATTTGATTTAGTCTCGAGAGAATGTTTACGTTGAACAGGTTTCTAAGAGACAGGACAGCTGACAAGTACAGAAAATAAGAATTGGCTTTCATAGTGACCCTTCTCAACAAAACACTTTGAGTAAAAAACCGGCTAAACGAAGAATTGTTAATAGGATAATAATAAAAATAGTTATGCTTGACCACGAGTTAAATATGAATATTAAAAAAAAAAAATCCAACAGAATTCAGCATGACCCTGGCAAGTATTAATAGACATGTCACATGGAAGAACTGGGCTGTCATCCATTCCCAGCACAGGATGTTGGCAAGGAGTACAATGTAATGCGATGGATAATTTTGTTCTGTGTGTGTCTCTAAAGATATTCTGGAGCTAGACAAGTTAAAGAAAAAGATAATTAGATGTGTTGATTTTGAAACAGTGAGGAAACATCTTAAGTCATTTGTACAGCTATTTAGGAAAATACATAGCTTATTTAAATATTGGCTTATGAAGATTATTCTAAATGATTTTTACATATATCACAATTTAGCTATTATATCTAAAGGAAGGCTTAGAAAGAGGAAGGCCCTATAATATTGATACAATTACTGAAACTTCTAGAAATCAGTCTGAGATTTATTTTTGCAAAACCACTAAAGGAATAAATAAAATCTAGATTTAGTGTACTTTTTTGATTTTGCCATCAAATATTGTCAGTCTCATGGAAGCTAGGATGTTGCATAATGACAATTTGACAAGGGTAAGCACAGTAGAATATTTGCATGAGAAGAAGAAGAGGTTGGGGCATGAGAATAACAAAATTCAAATATGACGAGGAGAGAGAGAAAATCCGAAACCCAGAGGAGAGGAGTAAGTCAATCAGATACATAGTCAAGATTAAAAACCAATTTCAGTGACAGTCAATGAGTTGGAAAGATTGAGCAGCAAGAGTTGTATTGAATATGAAAGTTTTACTCCAGGATATCCCTCTATCTGAGCAAGCTGATATAGGCAGGAAATCAAGAAACTGTAGGAGTAACGAGTGTTTAGCCTAATGGTGTAGAGGTCCAGGTCTCTCTCTGACTAGCTAGGCTCAGCACCTGTTTCTGGCTCCCCCGGGAGGCAGCAATGATGGCTCAGGTGTTGGCCTCCTACTGAGATGGGAGACCCGGACTGAGGTCCAGCTCCCTGCTGCAGCCTGACCTGGTCCTGGCTGTTGCCAGCATTTGGGAAGTGAAACAGTAGGAAAAAAGTGTATGTGTGCGCTCAGCTCTCTGCTTCTCAAATTAAAAGACAGAAACTGAGAGCATAAACTTAGATCATCGTCTGAGGTGTTAAAGTGTTGCTGAGACACATCTCATATGCAGGCAGTTCTCTGGGCCTGTGCCTGGAGTATACTCGTATTTATAGCTATTTGTGCTAGGAGTGGCCCACTCAGCTATGTCTAATATTTTTGGCAAAGGCTACTTATGTAGTTAAAAAATAAAATTCCACCAATGAGAACATTTTAATCTTTCACAGAACATGAATACTTTTATATGTATCTTTAGGGTTTTAAATAGGAATTTAATTTCATCCTGAACTTCCCATGGAATGGAAGAATTTACATGAAAATCATCTGTGATTTTAATTTTTGTCTTGACTTTAACAGTGGGTAACTGACCTTGTAATTATACCTGTATAGTTTACATTAAAAAACCAAAATCAACCAGCAACAAGAAGTAGGAAAGAAAGGCTTCTGGTTTTTTGTTTTAAGCAGAGCTTCTGAAAATTGGAAGTATTATGATCAAGCCCTAATGGCTGGAAGCCTGATAAATGATGTAAGGTCTTAATTTTATTTATGACATTTTAGAGTAATCTTACTACTGGTTGGTTTTTCCAGAAACTAGTCAGAATCGTAAGCATTTGCCTGTGATCTAGTTGTCACTGTACATAAATGCATATAGTTCTACTTCTGCCTTAAAAACAGTTGACCCTTCAAATCCAGAAATAATATTTGTGTGTCATTAAGTCCTATCTCAACACTTGGGCACAGTAGAGGGCATTTTGTAAATGGAAATGAGTTTGTGACTATCAGAAATAACCAGTATTTCTCTGGGAACTTCAATGTGAGACATGAAATTTTGAGCAGAGAGTTAAAAGTAAGAATGAATCATGCGATTTCCGTTGCTTTTTCTCTGATGCTTGGAAATACCAGTATGCAGCAGTGCCTTCTGATGCTCTGTGTGATTAAGAAATAAAGCCAGTGTCAGGGGCTCCGTACATATCAGTGCAGAATGATCTCATTCCTTTTTTCTCTAAAGAATTGGGGAATAAAACTAAGGCAGTTTAGTTTATTCAAAGAAGTTGAATAAAATGAAAATATAAAATTTTACTGTCCTTTGAACTGAGGTTAAATGCAGTTCTTAAAAGATTTTATTTATTTTTATCTGAAAGACAGATTTACAGAGAAAATGCAAAGACAGAGAGAAACATTACATCTGCAGGTTTATTCTCCAAATGGCTGTGGCTGCCGGAGCTGAGCCAACCCAACCCAAAGCCAGGATCCAGGAGCTTCTTCCGGGTCGCCCACATGGGCACAGGGATCCACAGACTTGAGCCATCCTTCACTGCTTTCCATAGGCAGGAAAGTGGTTCGGAGTGGAGCAGCCAGGATTAGAACCAGCATCCCTATGGGATGCTGGCACTTACAGGCAGAGGGTTAAGCTGTGAGCCACCGTGTTGGCCCCCTAAATGCATTTTTTTAAATGTGCTTTTTTAAAATCCATTTGTAGCAAGATATTTTTCCAAACATTTCCATACTGAGAAGCTAGTATTATTTATGGCTGATCTGGATAAAGAGACCAGGTTTAGAGCCTTCTATGTACTTAAGAAATGGCCAAATGATTCAGATATGCCTGGGTAGAAGCTACTTTTACAATCTTGAATTTTTTTTTAAACTTAAACACTGTAGGTTTTATGGGATATGATTATTTATTATGTAGACGGTTTATAACTTTTCAACTTGTTATTTTTCCCATTCTCCTGTGTTCAGTGACATCGGGATTGGTCAGTCCCAAGATGATAGCATAGTCGGATTAAGGCAGACCAAGCACATCCCAACAGCTTTACCTGTCAGTGGGACCTTATCCTCCAGTAATCCCGACTTGCTGCAGTCCCACCATCGCATTTTAGACTTCAGCGCAACTCCTGGTGAGCACCACTGACAGTTCTAATACAAGGGCAGTGCTGTGTGTGTGTGTGTGTGTGTGTGTGTGTGTGTGTGTGCCTGCACGTGCGTGCTCAGTTTGGCATGGGGCGTGTCGAGTTCTAGGAATAAGATGAGCCTTTGTTTCAAACAGTTGGAACTGGCCACGAGCATATGAATCTCTCTGATCTTGCTTCCTCCTTCATAAAATAACACACCCATGCAAATATTACTAAGTTCTAATAAATGGAGCAGGAGACATAACTTAGGTCACAAGTGGAGTTTTTGATTTAATAAAGATGAAGTTCAGAGCTAAATGCTCCTGTTGGTGAGAATGTGCCTCCGTTTGCCTGGAGTTCATTACCTATAAGGGAGAATGTGTTCTTGCAACCTGCAGGCATGTTGGTTGTTGGAACAATTGAAGAGCTGTTGCAGAGGGAGGCTGAAATCTTTCTGGGAAGATTTTCCTTTGTAGATTTCTTTGCTTGATTGCGTCACCAAATATTAAATACTGTTCTCACTTCCGTGTGCCTTTTCGTTGTCTGCAGACTTGCCCGATCAGGTGCTCAGAGTGTTTAAGGCCGATCAGCAGAGCCGTTACATCATGATCAGCAAGGACACCACAGCGAAGGAGGTGGTCATTCAGGCCATCAGGGAGTTCGCGGTCACGGCCACCCCGGATCAGTACTCGCTGTGTGAGGTGTCCGTCACACCCGAGGGAGTCATCAAGCAGAGGCGACTTCCAGACCAGCTGTCCAAGCTTGCTGACCGGATACAGCTGAGTGGAAGGTAGGCGGGCTTTATTTTGCTTGCTTTCTTGACCACTCTTGAAACCTACATCAGAATCTTTTTGAAGGGTTTATTGCATCAACTAGTGCCAGGGCACCTGGACAAAGGTTTTTGGTTTTGTTTTGTGATTCCTTTGCCAAGAAGTGCTGTATTACAGTAAAAGCACAGTGGTACTCTGTGGGCCGTCCTGGTGTCCAGGGCACCGTGGCCTGGATATTCGCAGCAGCTGCAGTTACCGTGCAGTGGCTTCTCACCCTCGCCCTGTAGGATGCTGGGCTGGCAGGATGGTGGGGAAATCGGGCCCAGCGTGAACCCTGATGGTCCCCTCTCCTTAGAAATGTACACAGGCGTTTCAGAAATTCATGGTGGAAAGACGGGAAATAAGCTTATTTGGTGCAGAAAAATGGTATCTAGGCATGGTTTTTTTCATAATACATATTTTCCATGAACTTTGGAAAGACCCTCTGTACACTCATAAACACATTTTCCAGGAGCGTTGTCATTTGCGTCTGCCTTCTTCCTTCCGGGAGCCTCCTTGGTCAGGGAGAGCTGTCTGTGACAGCGTGGCTGGCTATACTGCCAGCTGCTGTCCGTCACACTGTGAAAAGCATGTCCACTCTGACGCTGAACCATGCTTGCAGCAGTGCCCGCTGCCTTGCCACATCGGATACATGTTCTTGCAAAAAACATTGACGCTAATCTTGTCATTCTCCGGAGTGGTATTCCCTTAGTTGGATATTTGTAATATTGCCCTCTGGTTTAAAAAGTGAAAATTCGAGAAGTAATGCAGTTTTGATCTTGTGTAATGACTAGATTCTACACTGATTGAAAGTTAAGTAGTTCTATAAATCACATTTTTCTCTTTTTTCTTCCTTATGGACCATTTATACCTGACCTTTTCCTGTTCTAGATGTGAACTGTTGATTTAATTCATGCAAAACTTCGGTCTTCTTGCTGTCAGTTCTAATTTTCCTACTCTGCCTCACTTTCTTTTCCAACAGCAACACCAGCAGATGGTTTTGTTTTAGGGGATCAGTTTTTTTTATCACTTGACTGTACGTTGACATCTGTAAGTGATGAATTTCTGCAAATCTGTTATTCATTATTGAGGAAAATTTCAGATGAATCCATATCATGGCTTTGAGTCATCAGTGTGAAGAATATGTCTATAAATGCTAAGGAACTCATGTTTTCTGATCTCTTTTTTTTTTAAGATTTATTTTTTTTTTTATTGGAAAGTCAGATATACAGAAAGGAAGATCTTCCATCCGATGATTCACTCCCCAAGTGGCAGCAACAGCCAGAGCTGAGCCCAGAGTTTCTTCCGGGTGTCCTGCGTGGGTGTAGGGTCCCAAGGATTTGGGCCATCCTCGACTGCTTTCCTAGGCCACAAGCAGGGAGCTGGATGGGAAGCAGGGCCACTGGGATTAGAACCAGTGCCAATATGGGATCCCAGCATGTGCAAGGCGAGGACGATAGCCAATAGGCTACTGTGCTGGGCCCTATGTTTTCATATCTCTTTAATAGGACCCCTGCCGTGCCTGTTCCATTTTTTCCTTCATAGACTTTGACTTAGAGGAAGTATTTTGCATTCACTGTTCCTTAATCTTCGGAGCCTCTCTTCCCTGTTCTGAAGAATTAGGTTCTTAGGAAAAGCCAAGTATTTACAGGTTAAATTTGGCTGCGGAGTATTCAGCTCACAGGCTGACTTGGAGAGAGAACAGCTTGCTGTTCCCTAGGTTTTGAGTAAATAAACTGGGACTGATCCAGTTCTGACCCTCCAGCAGTCAGGTGTCTGCCTTGCCTCGCAGAAGATAATGACCTTCGCCAGAGCTTTCCTGCTTCCTCCCTGACGTTCTTTTCTCTTGACTGGAAATCGGTGTAGGATAATTGAGAAAGCGGACGGGGCAATTGCATGCAGCCTGCTCATTTCCATGAGCGACGTCTGGACGTATAGTCTGTACAGTCTGCTGACTTGAAATGGCAGCTGGCTTCTCCTTGGGAAGAGTTCTTCCGGCATAGAACTTGCCAGAAGCAGCTGCGTTCTGCTTTCAAGGAATAGCATGAGACTGCTGTTGAGGCGTGACGTCTATCGAGTGTCTCTCCCCCCTAGGTACTACCTGAAAAACAACATGGAGACAGAAACGCTGTGTTCGGATGAGGACGCTCAGGAGCTGCTGAGAGAGAGTCAGATTTCCCTGCTGCAGCTCAGCACGGTCGAAGTGGCCACGCAGCTCTCCATGCGCAACTTTGAACTCTTCCGCAACATTGAGCCCACTGAATACATAGATGACTTATTCAAACTCAAGTCGAAAACCAGCTGTGCCAACCTGAAAAAATTTGAAGAGGTCATTAACCAGGAAACATTCTGGGTGGCATCTGAAATTCTGCGGGAGACAAACCAGCTGAAGAGGATGAAGATCATTAAGCATTTCATCAAGATAGCGCTGCACTGCAGGGAATGCAAGAACTTTAACTCCATGTTCGCGATCATCAGGTAAGTTCAGTTTACGTGTGAAGGATATGCACCAGTTCAGGAACACCACCCAGTTATACACATGCAGTGCTTTTACTTATTTTAATTGAAAGACACCACTGCTGCCTCCATGGTTTTGTGTTTGCAGAGCATGGAGATCAGGAACGCAGCCAAGACTTGAGCCTGGGCTGTTGATGGTGGGGTGTGGCTGTCCCAGCCTCCATCTGAGCCCTACACCGTTCGCCTGCTGCTGAATGTAGCACTTCATAGCTGACTCTTAATGCAGGGTGTTTCTCAAAGAATTATTGAGAAGATTAAATGACTCAGTGATGCAAAGTTATGTCTGACAGCAAGAAGCAGATGCCCAGTTAGCAATATAGTTTTTCTTTTTTTACTTAGGGGGAAGCTAGAAGAAAATACTAATGGCAACAATTTTACTCATATTGGGATTGATTCTTAAATTGGTCATTTTTCCCTTTAAGGAGCTTGATCTTACTCTCGGGCTTCTCTGGCTCTTGTTTTCATGACTCTAGCTTACACACCCCGTCTGTTGTATCAGATGAATGCTGAGTGGCAATCACTATTCCATGTCTGCAGACAGAGGAACAATATTCATGTTCTCGTGGTGTTGCCAGTAATAACCAGATCTGAAGGGTAGAAAGGGAGGAAGGGTAAAAGCTTGGGTGCAGAGTGTACGCAGCGAGATGTCCAGCGGTCAGCACGGTACACGGTGTGACCTCTGTGAGGAATCATCTCCATGCCTGTCCTTCATCTTTCTTCCCTCTCAGTGGCCTAAACCTGGCGCCTGTGGCAAGACTACGGACCACTTGGGAAAAACTTCCCAATAAATACGAGAAACTATTCCAGGATCTCCAAGACCTCTTTGATCCCTCCAGAAACATGGCAAAATACCGTAATGTGCTCAACAGTCAAAACCTGCAGCCTCCCGTCATCCCGCTGTTCCCCGTCATCAAGAAGGACCTCACGTTCCTCCACGAAGGTAAACCTGGCCGCTGTCCGTCCCCACCCGTGGAGGCACCCAGTAAGTGCTACACCACTTCCGTTCTCTGCTTCTCCAATTACAGGAAACGACTCCAAAGTCGATGGGCTGGTGAATTTCGAGAAGCTGAGGATGATCGCAAAAGAAATCCGTCACGTGGGGCGGATGGCTTCCGTGAACATGGACCCCGCCCTCATGTTCAGGACTCGGTAAGTGTGTCCCCTTGCGTGGCGTGGGTGGGATCGGAAGTGTAGAGTTCCCAGTAGACATGGCGAAATGAGATCTGTGTACTTGTGGAATGTCAGGAATCGCACCAGGACACGCTGCCCCGAGCTCTCATTCTGCCTCCACGTGGGCATTAGACTGTGGGGAAAACCAGTTGGTCTTTTTGACATTCATCCATGATTATTGTTTCTTTTTTCCGGAACCCTGACTTGTAGAATTCAGAATTGTTCACCTATGAACTAATATAGATAAAAATTCCCAATAATAGTAGCCATGCTGTGGAGTTAACTCTGGGGGGTTGGGGGGGAACACAAAAGATTAATTCCATGAGGAAGAGAAAGATGCTAGACTTCTAAAACAGTTGAAATGTATGTATCATTTGAGCCGGGAAGTGTGTGTGTGAGGTGGATATGCAGCGTAATGTTTGTGGGCTTCTAGAACTGCTTGTCCAAAAGTCTAGTCCTTTCTTTCTGAGCTGGTGATCTCTCTGTCTCTCCCTACACCCATGCTTCAATCTCCATGGCTCTCACTTACAGGAAGAAGAAGTGGCGGAGTTTGGGGTAAGTGGAGGAGACCTTGCACGCCCACGCACAGTCCTTCCCCTTCGCGTTGCATCGTTTTCTTACCTGCTGTACTTTCTGATGCTTTGCAGTTTTTTTTGCATTTTTCCCCTTAACCCTCTTGCTGTAGCTAAATTTTAGATGGGCAAACTGACTTCATGTTTAATCTGTTGGGGCTGCTGCTTTTGAAGTCATGATCCATGAGAGCTGTGAAATGATGGATGATTGTTCTGGGGAACTGTCAGCCAAATGTATTTCTGAGCTCACAGATTTTATTTCAATATAAATTTATACGTCGTGAGATGGGAACTGCCAAAAGTAAGGGGGAGGGGAGGAAGGATGTCAGAAGGCAAAATTGTACAATGGAGATAATATTGCCCAGGTATATGAGAAATCAATACAATGATATAAAAAGTGCCCCCAGGTGTTAAAACCAAGTTTTTACAGCTCAACTAACTACTATTTTCATTCTGTTTAAACCAATCATTAAAAAAATAATTAACAATTCATGTGCTAAAACAGTCTCCATACATACATACTTGCGTTTGCATGATAACTATTTTATTAACAGATTGACTGCGTTTAAAAACTTACCACATTCAAACCAAGGCAAAAGAACATAATGGTGAATGTCGTAGCTGATTTTACTTAAGCCGTACAAATGTTCTTTATGGCAGAAGCAGATTTAATGTTGCAAAGCTTAAAGATTGTAGCTGTGTATTCTTGCATGAGCTTTTATATATAATTAATTGCTATCTTCTGTGAGAAAAGTACTCTATAGAGGTGAAAGCTAGAATTTTCTAGAGGAAATGGAGCAGTCACCAGCCATGCATTGATACGTGGATAATGGATTTTTTTTCCTTTCCAATCTGTATTATCCTAATGAGGCCTTGTGGCCTTTTGCACATAGAATTGTGTTGACATCTCATCACATTCCAGCTGGATGAACTGATCCCATCCCGGAGTGAGTTGCATGTCTCCCCTTCATCTTCCAGGTCTCTCAGCCAAGGTAGTACAAACGCAACAGTGCTAGACGTTGCTCAGACAGGTGGTCACAAAAAGCGGGTCCGCCGCAGTTCCTTTCTCAATGCCAAAAAGCTTTACGAAGATGCCCAGATGGCTCGGAAAGTGAAGCAGTACCTGTCCAATCTGGAGCTAGAAATGGATGAGGAGAGTCTTCAGACGTTATCACTACAGTGCGAGCCAGCAACCAACACACGTGAGTCTTTCCTTAAAGGGGCTGCCAACGCTTCCTTGGACACAGGTTTCTTTGTTGGGCAGTGATGTGGGCAGTGCCAGCAAGAGCTTGGTGCAAAGGGGCGGTGGGGAACGGCAGTCCTGAGACACACTAACTAGACATTGCCTTGAATGCTGCTGTTAAATCTGCTATAGCCAGGCCTTGTTCCACTGGGCTAGTAGAGAGAGACAGGGTTGTTTGACCCTTACACAGCCAGTGCACATGTAAAACCCAGGTGGGCAAACCTGGCTCTCATGTACATGCCTTGTCTCCTTGCAGTCATCCCCAGGGGAATGGGCAACCCATGAGCACACGCTAGGTCAGAGAAGCACATAACTGGGTGTCTTTAAGACATGCCTTTCAGATCTGCAGCTCAGATGGCAACTCACAGCCAGGTCCACCACCACTTGCGGAAGGCGTTGTGTCGTAGAGTGGACCATAGCAACTGGCGTGCAGGTCCCAGCCGAGGAACACTTGGCTGAGCTGGGGCAGTTTTGTTTTTCTCTCTAACTGTACTTGCAAGACAGGCCTCCACCCCACCCCCCACTTAAGATGATTTGAAGAGAACTTCTATAGAATTTAGATGAACTTGGGGTGTTTCAAATGGTGAAATTTTCTCGGCATGTTCTGAAGCACTCTGTCATGGGGAAGAGCTCATCTTGTGAGAGTGGGCAGAGGTCAGATCCTGGCGCTTTGTCTTACCAGCAACAGGACTAGGCCACAAACTCCCTTTGTGTTAAATGGAGAAAGTGCCCATGGCATTGAGTTATTTTAGAACATTTTTAGTGTGTTAATAGCACTATGTGTGCCGTTAATCTGATTTTTCGTCTGTTTGCCACAGAATTGCCTAGTCGATACAGAAGCCCCCCAGTGTTGAGTGCCGTTTAGCTTCCAGAATCAAGTCTGTCCTGTCCAAGAATTTGATATTAGATACATTACTGTTAATGGCATGTATTAAATAAAAACATAGCTTGTGTCGTAGGTAATTTGTTTGAACAGTTTTAGGAAAACCATTTCTGATCATTTTCTGGTCACAGTGTTTATCCTGTGTTTTTATAGACATAGCGTTGAATTATTCACAATTATTTTCCGTTTTTAATGGGATGCTTCACAGTGCAGTCATTTTGTGAGTCTAGCTGAACGCTTTCTGTAACTAAGGCCCTCCCCCGATTTCTGCCCTCTGCATAGACAACAGGAAAGTTACTGTGATTTCACAGCCACGCAGGCTTCTGCCTTTCTGTTATTAAAATCTACGCCGGTGTATCCTACTAACATCCTAAATTCTTTGTTCTGCTTTTTAACCAAACAACTACCAGTGCCTAAGAATCCTGGTGAGAAAAAGCCTGCCAAGTCTGAAACCTCCCCAGTGGCTCCAAGAGCGGGGTCCCAACAGAAGGCGCCGCCGCCGTCACAGCAGCAGCCCTCGCACAAGGGCAGCCAAGGGCTTCAGGTGCCAGCTGTGTCCCTGCACCCTTCACGGAAGAAAGTGCCGGTGAAGGATCTCCCGCCCTTCGGTGAGTGAGGAAGGCTCCCTTTGCGCTGCTCGCCCGTGTTTTCTGGATTCGGGAAAGGGTGCTTATGTGGGATAAGTTTGTCTCGTGAACTTCAGTTTCTCTCTGATGACTGCAGCCTAGTTCAGCCAGGCATGCCATCCAGCCCCAGCTTTCACGTGCACCAACAAGAGGCAGGTGATGTGGGTGCCTCGGCCTGACCCAGACGTGCCCTCTGGTTTTCCTCCTCTCAATGACTCCATTTCAGTCTCCTTATCTACCTGTGATTGCAGTGTTCCTGCCTGTGGAAGCCCCTGGAAGTCATTCCTCCCCTGTCAAACATACCCTGAACCACTCCCAGTCCAACATGTCCCCAGACCCTCTTCCCCAGGCAATCATCAGCCCCCAGGCCTAGGGTCTTGGGTGGCAACAAATCGGACTACGTCAAACTAACAGGCTTCTGTACAGCAAGGAAACGGTCAGCAAAGTGAAGAAGAAAGGAACAAAGTGAGATTAAATCTTTGCACACCACATAATAGTTGGGGCACTGATATCCGGGTTTTACAGAGAGCTCCAGACATTCAATGAAAGCAAAAACAATGGGCAAAGGAAATGAGCAGGCATTTTTCAAACAAGCAGATTTAAATGGTTAATGGACATGTGAAAAAATGCTCTGACACTACAGCTAGTAGAGAAATACAAATGAAAACCGAATTTGAAGTCCCACCTAACTCTAGTGAGATTGGCCTACATTCAGAAATCTACTGACAACACCTGCTGGCCTGAGTGTAGGGAAAACATATCTTACTCCACTGTTAGGAGTGTGGGCTAGTTAGCACAGCCACTGTGGAAATACACACAGTGCTCAGACTACCCGTATGTCCCAGCTATCCCACTCGTGAGAAGGACTGTTTTTTCTCATAATAAAAGCTGGCACAGGTAAGAATATCAAAAGTTTCAAAGTTGTCTGTTTTTTTCCTCTTGTATAAATAAAGATGGTGACCCCTTTAAGGTTTGGAGTACAAAGTACATTTCAAAAGCAGTCCGTTTCTGGACTTCTGGCAGATGCCAGTCAGAATTAGAATCCAGGTGTCCGCTCACTCTATACCAGGAAGAGTACAAAGGAGGTTTAGGTTGTGAATAGTTTGAAACTTGATAGAATAGAAATGCTAAGTGTTTTGGCCCTCAGAGTTGTTTCTTTCTAGTCTTTAAAATACACATCTCATGATTTTTTACAGGCATAAACTCCCCGCAAGCTTTAAAGAAAATCCTTTCCTTGTCCGAAGAAGGAAGTTTAGAACGTCACAAGAGGCAAGCTGACGACGCACTATCAAACGCATCTTCCCAGCTCTCTTCTCCGCCAACTTCTCCCCAAAGCTCTCCAAGAAAAGGTAGAGCTAGAGCACTTGTTTCCTTTGATCAGAATCTATACCTTTCAGCCATCGCAAATGCCAGAATTGTGTATAGTGTTGAACTAAATGAAGCCTTTTAAAAATACATTTAAATTTTTCATTGATTGCAAGTATAGAAAGAGCTCTGGATATTAAATTTTTTCTGCCATTTTTTGATAGAATACTGTTTGGGTGTAGGAAAGACTGTAAAGACTTAGGAAAACTAACAGATTCCTGATTTCTTTCTTCGTTGTACCAACTCAGGTCTTGATTCCCTTCCTCTTGTTGTCACGTTTTTCATGGGACTTCATAGTAGGCAACCAGAATGTGCATCTGTCTCAAGTTAAAGTGGTGGACAGGTTGCTACTTGTGTCTCCAGGTTACGACCTCCTCCCAGCCTTTAACTGAATGGGTGGCAGTCAGTAATGCATTTCTACAGAGAAATGCAAAGTGGCTAGCAAAGCGTGAGATTTCATGGGCAGAGCAAAGGTGTATGTTGTGTGAGTAGCTGTCTCCTGTCCTAGTTCCATGGATACATCTCAATTCTTTTTCTCATCCTGTTGTTAGGTGGCAGTGGCAATCAGCTGAGATCTTTTGGTTCCGAGCCGTCGGACTTAACCAGTTCCTCCTCTTCTCTTGGAAGTGAGAACAGTAACAAGAATAACAATGCAGCGCGGACCCATGGGCTAGGTGGGGTTGGCGGACCCAGAGCAGGGCGGGAGAGATAGGCACGGGCCCCCTGGTGGCAGACAATGGACCAGGTCAACCACGTGCCAAGTGCTCCATTGGAATGATGGCTCTGCTTCGGAAGCCTCTGGGAGCACACTGTTCAGGGGCAGTGCTATGCTTCCTCTGCTGACTTGCAGCATGATTTACAAAAACCACAATTCATATGCAAACCCACAGAACTTTATCAAGACTTGTGCACCCATGAAGAAATAAATCAGGAATGAGCTGTGCCCCAAAAGGAGGCAGACATGTTTAAGTTACAGCATCTCTAGACTTCCATTGTTGCTATGCTGTATGTTTAGGTTAGTGACCCTAACAGCTTTCACGTTGCATAGTATCCACATACAATCCATGTCAGATCAACAGGAAATCCTGAGGACTGATAGAAAAAAGAAAAAATGCAAACACCCAAGATGAAGTTTTGGATTTTTACATTAAAAATACCAAGACATGCCTCTTCCTTTATGATTTTCAAAATGATTTTCAGGAACATAGAGTTAAGCTTCCTTTCAGGCCAGGAAATGGATGGCAGTTCAGGCGGTTTATCGAGATGGAGCAAAACGCACATCGCATCCTCCCAACCAGGGGGCCTTTATGTGATTCAACTAATACATTATTAATATTAAAAAGTCAAATGGCAGCAGTCCAAAGATGTCTTCCCAGGGTCTTGTCTCTTGTTTGTGTTTGTACTGTCTGCTTAAAATTGCAAGTAGGATACGCATGTTTTCAGTTGAATTATTCGGTGCCATGCTTAAGAGTCTAAAATTTGAAAACCATCGAAAATGAGCTTATTGATGTTGCATCTGGGAGGCAATCATGCTTTCAGATTTGACTGAGATTCTCCATAGTCTCTCTTCACCAGTCTAACAATGTAATACGTACCTGCGAGAATGGAGTATCGTCACGTCATCCATGCTTTTTGCATCTTTCCCTGCTTTGGAAGCAATGCTCTTTTCCACCTCTCTAACCACTGACTAGCAGCTTAAGATCCAATACAGCAAAAGCTTACTGCGTCTGCAGTTACCTGTTTCTACAAATAACATCGTGTTTTCTTCCGCTTTCCCCACGTCTGTGATGATATCTGCCCACGTCTGGCCTCTGCCTCAGTCTGGCAGACTTTGATTTTTATGCTTGAAGCCTGAGCCGCTCGTGAGCATGGCTGTGCTTCTCTTCCAGGCTATACCTTGGCTCCCAGTGGAACTGTGGATAACTTCTCAGATTCGGGCCACAGTGAAATCTCTTCCCGCTCCAGTATCGTCAGCAACTCTTCTTTCGACTCAGTTCCGGCGTCGCTGCACGAAGAGAGGCGCCAGAGGCATTCTGTCAGCATCGTGGAGACAAATCTGGGTGTGGGCAGAATGGAGCGGCGGGCCTTGATGGAGCCCGATCAGTACAGCCTAGGGTAGGCAACTTCTGTGTTTGTTTTGTTTTTTGACGATATTGTGTTAATCTCTCTCTTGATAAAGGCACAAAGCTGTAATATGTCGTTTCACTCCCTCAGTGCCTACAGCAGTTAAGACTAAGTTGGACCAAGGCTGGGAAGTCCATCCAGGTTTCCCACAGGAGTGTCAAGGTCCAGCTCCTTGCTGGCCCCTGCTGTTCCTAGGGTGTTCCTCCTTAGCAGGAGGCTGGACTGAGGAGTGGACCACGAACTCCAGGCAGTACAGGGTGGAGTGTGAGCACCTTAGCTGGTGGCCTAATTGCTCAGCTAATGTCTGCCCTCCAGAATCTTGCTTAATTTACCCAGTGTCAATGACATTTACCCCTGAACTGCTGCTTGTGACACTCCATCCTATCGGAGTGTCAGTTAAGCCTCCAGTTGTTCTGCTTCCAGTCCAGCTTCTTGTCAGTCAGCCTGGGAAGGCAGCAAATTATGGTCCAAATCCTTGAGCTCCATGGGACATCTGGACCCACACTGGCCATTGCAGCTGTTTTGGGGAGTGGGTAACCCAACTGATGGAAGATTCTCTCTGTCTCTCTCTTGCTGGCCTCATCTCTCTCTTGCTCCGCCTTTCATATGAATAAATAAACCTCTTAAAAGGAAAAAATCCTGTCATCCAAGTTCTCATTTTCAGGTTTCCTGGATTCTAAGTCCCAAGCTGTTTGTCACGTGGACTCCTTTTTCTCACTAGATCGCCCTTTGTTGAAACACTGCTGTCTGTACTGAAGGCCACGTGACTGTGGCTTGCATGGCGGCTGTCTGGTATCACGTGCCTTCCTGAGACCATCAGGCTGTTTGAAGCATCCTTAGCTTTGTTTTTTTTTTTTAAAGATTTATTTTTATTATTTTCTCATTGGAAAGGCAGATATACAGAGAGGAGAGACAGAGAGGAAGATCTTCCATCCGATGATTCACTCCCCAAGTGAGCGCAACGGGCCGATACTATGCCGATCCGAAGCCAGGAGCCTCTTCCGGGTCTCCCACGCAGGTGCAGGGTCCCAAAGCCTTGGGCCGTCCTCGACTGCTTTCCCGGGCCACAGGCAGGGAGCTGGAAGGGAAGCGGGGCTGCCGGGATTAGAACCGGCGCCCATATGGGATCCCGGGCGTGCTAGGTGAGGACCTTAACCACTTGCGCCACCGCGCCGGGCCCGCATCCTTAGCTTTGTGAGGAAGCCCTGTCTTCAAAGCACACCAGTGCTGTGTTTTTTTTAATAGTAATGACAAGGCGAGAAAACCAGACAGGGTCGAACTGGATGTTATAATGCAACTCAGTGGTATTTTCTGCTGCTATTCTTGGGGCGTGAGTAAGCTGCTCCTGTAGGAGAAAGAGAGAGTATTTAACACTGTTGCTTTTCGCCCCGCTCTTGTGTCCTTGTGTCGGCCACCTAGGTCCTACGCAGCGATGTCCGAGAGCCGAGGCCTGTATGCCACAGCCACAGTCATCTCTTCTCCGAGCACAGAAGAACTGTCCCAGGATCAAGGGGACCGCGCTTCCCTTGACGCCGCCGACAGCGGCCGCGGAAGCTGGACGTCGTGCTCTAGCGGGTCCCACGACAACATTCAGACCATCCAGCACCAGAGGAGCTGGGAGACGCTTCCGTTCGGCCACACTCACTTCGATTATTCAGGGGACCCTGCGGGCCTGTGGGCCTCGAGCAGCCATACGGACCAGATGATGTTTCCTGAGCACAGCACAAAGTACAACAGGCAAAATCAAAGCCGAGAGAGTCTGGAACAAGCCCAGTCCCGGGCCAGCTGGGCGTCGTCCACAGGCTACTGGGGCGAGGACTCGGAAGGCGACACGGGCACGATCAAGCGAAGGGGTGGCAAGGACGTTTCCATGGAGGCCGAGAGCAGCAGCCTCGCCCCGGTGACCACCGAGGAAACCAAACCCGTGCCCGTGCCCGCCCACATCGCTGTGACACCGAGCACTGCCAAGGGGCTTGTGGGTGAGTACAGGTGCTGCGGCAGCTGTGACAAGTCTGAATTGTGACTTCGGTGTCACTTATTTCAAAAAGATTTGTGTGTCTGTTTTCTGTTGATTTTTGTCCACTGCCGTGCCAGGCTTGCTGGTGTGTCCATTTGGGAATGAATGGTGGTTGAGAGTCCAGATTCGCTCCAGTGCAGTGAAGCATTGAGTCACCAGTAGACTCTCGCCATGGTTGGGATCCAGTTGGATCTTTTTATCAGGGCACCTGCCCACTCTTCAGGAAGAGGAATCTTCCATTGAACCTGCTTTCAATATTAGCCTGGTTTTTTCATCTTGGTTGGATTTGGAAATTTTGTTTCTGATAGTTGAGTGTTTTCCATACTCATTTGTGTGCTATACAGGCAGTTCCTGCACACCCTGCCATCAGAGAGGATGTGAATTGATTTATTAAAGCAGATATAAAAATCTGTATGTATATATTATACAAAAGGATTTTAATAAATACCTTAATTTTAAAGGTTTTAACTTGCTACCCTTTTAGGAAACATTTCCAAACTTATCTTCATACACTGTTTTCCAAAAAGGAGTTGATTCTTGACTGACAAGCAGCAGGTGCAGCAGTCTTGTCTCTGGGGCAAGGAGAGCGGAGGGAAGGGAACTTGGTCCGGGGGCTCACAGGTGTTGGGTCCTTGGGATCAGTCTTAGGATGAATCGAAGGTTACAGTTACAATCAAAGCTTGAATTAATCCCTTTGAAGTTAAAGGTACTGGGGTAGGCATTTGGCTAGGTGGGTTAGGCCTGGGATGTTGATGCCACATTCTGTATCTCATTGTCTTGGGATCAAATCCAGCCTTTGCTTCCGCTGCAGCCTCTTGCTAACGCACACCCTGGGAGGATAACTGGGCCCTGTCACCCACGCGCGAGACCTGCACGAAGCTCCTGGCTTCCGGCTTTGGCCTCACCCCAGTCCTAGAGAATAGATTCTGTCTGTTCCTTCTTGCTCTCACTGTCTCTATCTCATTGTAGCTCTGCCTGCCAAATAGACGAAAATTTTAAGAAATGAAGGTATTTACACTGCCTCATATCAGCCCCACAGATAACCATTGTCTGACTAATCGATCTGGTTACCATGCACGCTGCAGTCTGTGCCACGGCCCACGTCACACACTTGCTGCTGCCCTGCACATTCTGTTTCAGCAATTTCAGAAGTACTCTGAGCATGTGCGCTGTGGGCTTTCCTTCCACAGACTAACACTGGTACCCTGTCTCTACCGCAGCACGCAAGGAGGGCAGATACCGAGAGCCGCCGCCCACCCCTCCAGGCTACATCGGGATCCCCATCACGGACTTTCCCGAAGGACACTCCCATCCAGCCCGGAAACCTCCAGACTACACCGTGGCCCTCCAGAGATCCCGGATGCTGGCCAGGTCCTCCGATGCTGCCGGGCCTTCCCCAGCTCAGCAGCCGCCTGGGCACGCGGCCGGCAGCAGACCCCTGAGCAAGCCTCAGTGGCACAAGCCCAGCGAGTCGGACCCGCGCCTCGCCCCCTACCAGTGCCCAGGGTTTTCGGCCGAGGAGGACGGTACGTAGGCCTCCTTGAAGCTCGGGGTTCTGTGGCCGCCCAGGCCTTCCTACTTTCTTACCCTCGCCAGCTGACCTCTGACTGCGTAGGAGCTGCACACACGATGTGGGAGGATTGGGCTCTGAGCTAGGGTTAAAATTTGCATGGCTGCCTTTGTGAGGATCACTTTGGCTTTCCTTCCTGAAAGGCTTCAGGCCAAAGGTATCGGAGGGATCTTACAAATCCACCTGGACCCGGTGGATTCAGGGCAAGGCGGGGCCGCCAGGCCTCCTCCACTCCCACCACCCCCTTCCATTGTATTTTTGGTTTAAGATGTTATTAAATAACCATTATAGAAAATAGCAAGACATTGTAGAAATGACTTATAATCGTCCACTTGCGGCTAAGCACTACTGACATTTTTATATATCCTTCTAGACATCATATGCATGACTGTTATAAAAGTGTGTCATGTGCATTATACACTTTTCCAATGAGTCTGTCACTGTTAACTTTGACCAGTAACTGTTTAAAGATCTGATCATTGCCCCTCCCCACCAAAAAAACAAGAATTCTAAGTGAGCTATACTAGAAAGATAAAGCACGTGATTCTGACTTAGCCATCAGTGAGTGTGTTCTCTGCGGTACAAGCTGGCTTCCCTCTTTGCTCACCAACTCCCTCCTCCTTCCCTGCTGTGTTTGCAGAGGATGAGCAAGTATCCGCTGTGTGAGGCGCAGCCTTCCGGGGTCCAGAGCGAGTGGGCCACCCGCACGGAGAGCACAGGACGCCAGTCCTCGCGTCAGAGCCTTGGAGCGCGCATTTGGAGGATGCTGGACCAGTCTGCCTCCTTCCCTGCCTTAAAAGCAGCATGGGGCTTCTTCTCCCCTCCTTCCTTTCCCCTTTGCATGTGAAATACTGTGAAGAAATTGCCCTGGCACTTTTCAGACTTTGTTGCTTGAAATGCACAGCGCAGCAATCTCTGAGCGCCCACAGTTGCTGCCTGCCGCGTCCCACAGTGTCATTCCAAATTCCAAGATCATCCCAACACGATGATTCACTCTGGCTGCACTTGTCGAGGCCTGGAAGGATTTTCTTTCTAACCTTCCTTTTCGATTTCAATCCAGTCCCAGCACTTGATCTCATTGGGCTAATAAGAAAAGCTAACCATTGAGCAACTTGGGACCCTGAACCCACCACGGAAGACAAAGAAAAGCATCCTCTGAGTACAGTGCTTGTCCACTTGTTTACAACTCCGTTCATTTTTTTTTTTTTTAATTTCTAAGGAGTTTTAAAATTGTGTTCAGAGTAAATGATATATCCATTTATTGATTGCAGTATTATTTTGGACCGTAAGCAGGGTTGCCAGCCTGGGTTTTTGCAAAACCAAATATGCCGGACAGGGTGTGGCCACATCAAGGAAAGGGGACCAGTGGGCCCATGGCCCTGCCTCCCTGTGCCCTTGTGGTCTCGCCTGCCAAGTGCCCTATCCCAGAAGGATAGCATGGTGGCCAACTCCTCCGATGCCACGCCCCCCTGCTGCTGCTCCTCTCCCGGCGGGCTGGGGCCGGTGGAGGGCTTCCTCTGTAGAACTGTTTGCACATGGCCGGGGAGGGGACGAGGACTCCTGTGTTCTGTTGAGCCTTTCAGAGGCAGGACAGTGTCATCGGAGGGAGTGTGCTGCTCCACTGAGACGAATGGCAAACCCCATATTTAAGTTATGTTTCTTTGGATTTTTGTTAATTTAGGATTTTAGGGGGATTTTTTTTTTTTTTTTTAAGAGAAACAGAACTGGATAGCATTGCAGTGAAAGCAGCTTGGAGTGTTGGAGCGAATGCCAGCTGTTCGTACTGCTCTTTCAAGACCGCCTCCCTTTACTGAATTGGCATTAGGGAATACACAAGCCTTTCAACATGACTGAAGAATAAAAACAAAAGAACCAAGCCTGGTTCGACTTGCGAGCCTTTGCAAGGCGGGCTAGTCAGCAGAGACTGACCCCGCCAAGCGGTGTTATGGACGGTGCGTACAGAAGCCGAAGTGCAGTAACCACCTGCTCACAGCTGCTATGAACCCCAGAAGGACCGAAAAAAGACCCCTCCACTCTATTTTTGTGTTGTTTTTGCACAGACTCCGGGAAAAGTGAAGGCCACCGATCCGAGTAGTACTCAACTGTGAGGGACTGCTGGTCTTGGATTTTTTTTTTTTTTCCATTAAATTCAGCTGATCATATTGATCAGTAGATTAACGTAAATAGCTTCCAATTTTAAAAGTCGAATTGCAGTGTTTTTTCACTGTATCCAACAATGTCAGTGCTTTATTTAATATTTCCTCTTCTGTATCATGGCATTTGTCTACTTGCTTATCTATGACATTGTCAATTATGCATTTGTAATTTTACATGTAATGCATTCTTTGCCAGTTTTATTCTATAGGCTATGGACCTCATGTGCATATAGAAAGATCTAGCTCTACCACCAGTTGCACAGATGTTACCTAAACATTAAGTAATTGTAGAACATAGGACTGCTAACCTCAGTTCGCTCTGTGATGTCGAGTGGTGATCTCCTTTTGATACTACTTGTACCTGTATGTCTTTCAGAAAGACATTGGTGGAGTCTGTATCCCTTTTGTATTTTTAATACAATAATTGTACATATTGGTTATATTTTTGTTGAAGATGGTAGAAATGTACTATGTTTATGCTTCTACATCCAGTTTGTATAAGCTGGAAAATAAATAAATATAACATAATGCCTTGCCTGTGTTTTTGACAAACCATGCATGCCTTCCGTGCTTCAAGTGTATGTGACAAGAGATCTTGGATCCCACCGAAGAAGGCGCAAGAGACTTGGCCACTTCCTGTCCAGTAACTTTGTTAAGTCACAAATCAACATTGTGAATGTTAGCACCAACCAAACCATGTCCAGGAAGCACAGCGTTTCTCAAGATTCCATGGAAAATAAAGCTAATGGGATTAGCTTTGTGCACCAGCTGGTTAAGCCCCTGCCTGTGACGCCAGCATCTGTATGAACACTGGTTGGAGTCCAGCCCTCTGCCAGTGTGCCTGGGAAGGCAGCAGCTGATGGCCCAGGTGCTTGGCCCCGTCACCCATGTGGGAACACAGGTGAGTTCCCAGGTTCCTAATTTTTGTCTGGTCTAGCCTCGATGTTGTGGTCATTTTGAGAGTGAACCAGCACATGGCCTTCCCGCATGCATGCATGTGTGTTTTCTCTGGTCTAGTTCCAGCTGCTCCACTTCCCATCAAGATCCCTGCTTATGACCTGGAAAAGCAGCTGAGAATGGCTGAAATCTGCCAAGACTGTGGCCTCTTTTCCCACTCCTGGATTGGTTCTTTCCGTTGCACTTGTTCACATCTGCTTGGCTGTCTTCCGACATCCTGTCATTGACTGGTAATCTGAGGGACATAGTGCCACAAAGAGTTTGGTTCCACATGGCACTGTTGCCATAGAAAAATACCAGAAAGTGGAGACTTTATAAAGAAGTCTGTAGCTCTCAGTGTGGAAGTGGTCACCCTAATTCTGTGGTGAGGCTCCTCCCCGCCCCTTCCAGCTCCCCCAGTGCATCTCAACAGGGAGTTATGTACCTGGGCAACACAAAGTGACAGCACATTAGAACATGACAGGCACAGAGTGAGGGGAAGTCTTTTGAGCATGCGCATTGAAAACTCCTGTCTTTACTGAGACTTATGTTCACAGAGCATTGCTGAAATGTCACTGGAGATGTGTCATTTAATATGACAGTAAGACGTCGTCGGTCTGCACTGGCTCCACCTGCCAGGCTGGCTCCAGCGTGTTCTGTGCGGTTTGACCAGGGACCTTGGGAAGACAGCTCAGCAGATTTTTGTTTGTTTGTGCAATGACAGCTATTCTGGGATTGTAGGTTACTAAGCAACTGGTAGGCCAATGACTATTATGGGCTGTTAATATCTGGCAGCTTCAGGAACCTTGCTGTTAAGTCAAGGGAGGGGCATCTTGCGCCCTTTTGCTTCACTGGCATTAGTTTTCCAGAACGGTCGCAACAAAATGCCAAGCCTGCCTGGCTGAAACAGCAGAAATGAGTCTTCCTGCAGTCTGCAGCCTGGAAGGCCCAGCTCAGGCTTGTTTCTCCCACGTGAGGTCTCCCACTCGGATCTGCAGGTGCTTCCCTTCCATCTTTCCTCTGCACGCATCCCTCTTAACAGTTAACACCCAGGACTGAGCCAGTCTTAAGCCAATAATTCCATGTGGGTCTCCCCTGTGGGTGGCAGGAGCCCAACTCCTCGGGTCCCTTTGCACTGTCCTCCCAGGAGTGTTAGCAGGAAGCTAGATCCAAGGCTGAGCAGCTGGACCTGAACTGTCTCTCTGATGTGGGATGCTGGGTCACAGGTAGCAGCTTAATCTACTCTGCCACAACAAAGGTCTCCATTTGAAAACCTTAAAGCTGGGTGTCTCTCCCTCCTCTATCGAGAGGCACCCCACCTCCTGGCTTCCTTTCCGGGGGTGCTTCCCCTTCCTTCCCTTCCCTGCTTCCCTGGTCCCTTCGCAAATAAACTTTTCTGTTTGCAACAGAAAAAAAAAAAAAAAAAAAACTTAAAGCTTTCAGTTACACTTTACAGGTTCAGATTGTAATGTCTGGATATCATGATGCATTTTGTCTAAAATTTTTTAGAAATGCAAAATGTCAAACATCAGGGTTAATGTGGATGAGCATTAATAGTACCATAGCTTTTTTAGGCCCTGGCCTCTCGTTGAATAACATAATTATTAAACATAACAATTCAATCACAAGTAGCAGGGACAGTGGGTTAAGCCACCGCCTGTTACACCAGCATCCCCTAAAGGAACATGGATTCCCAGCTGCCCTGCTTCCTATCCAGCTCCTCCTGCTGCCCTCAGGGAAGCAGCGGAGGATGGCTCAGGCCGCTGGCTCACCTGGCCTGGGCCTGACTGTTGCAGCCACTTGGGGAGTGAGCCAGTAGATGGAAGATCTCTCTCTGCCTCTCCTGTTCTCTGCCTGTCAAATAAATAAAACAGGATTTTCAAAAAGGAAATAATTATGTAAAGCTAATATTTTTCAAAATGAAATGGAAGAAAATTTGGGCATTGAGAAATCTGAAATAAAAATAGCTAGCCAATCCCTCGGAAGCATTATGCTTGAGGATGTTGAAATCTAGCTTTGCTTGAGTCAAACATTCACGTGAAGCAGTATGACAGAAGAGACCCTTTGCGCTTCCTCCGGCAGCTTCATTTCAAGAAAAGCGCTTCTGGGAAGCTGCAGTGAACGTCACTTTCCCTACAGTTTCCTGCAAATGCAGATTTGGACCTCTGGGCGTGCTATTTAAGACAAAGTTAGGGCCTCTCTGAAAGCCAAAGCGAAGAAGCAGAGTCCCCAATGTTGGGGCTACAGAGCCTGGCATCCCAGAACTGCCAGAAAACACAGGCAACACACCGAACCAAGACCCCTGAACCCTGCCCTCTCAGTGAGGACCAAGAGATGGGAAGAGACAACGAGGGACCCCTCCGAACCCACCCAAGCCCCGCCAGCCCGTGCCTTCTGAAACTAGAACCAAGCAAACCTAAGAAAGACAATCACAGAAGACTGAAAATAATTTTAATTGTGCCCAGGGTTTCTGAGAGTAACGAATACACAAAAGTATCCGATTATTTTTTATTGTTTGTTCTATATGCCTGAGCTAGTTACAATAACATGTACTCCTTGTTTTGTGAGGCAAGTTTAGATGTTAACTTTTTGGTTTACAAAATTGTTTCCAGTGGTGACAGAGCTCACATGAGCAGGCCGACTTAAGTCAACAGGGTTAGACATGTTGAATGGGCTGCCAGAGAGTAGCATGGCAAGAGGACAGCTGGAAGCTGACTACCACTGCCCTGTGCTGCCAAGGAAGAGTGGTCACGGCAGGCAGAGGTTGTCACGGAATGGCACACTAGTGACGCTGTTATCCTAGTGAGGTTGAGTTCTTCTCGTGATCAGAAAAGTTTCCCCAGGTAGGTGATCTCCTTTTCTGGGCAGAGCCGGGGAGCCCCTGGACCACTCATAGCACTGGGATTTCCCATTGCCCTGGGACTACCAGAGTAACACACTGAGTCAAACATTATCCTTGGCAATTCCCACAGTTATGTGGGCAAATTGCACTCCTCCCCCACCCCTGTAAATGCAGAAATAAAGTTCTGTCCCCAAAATAAGAAAATCAGATGAGAAGGAACCCCTACAACCTGGCCTTTGATTCAACATGTACCTGTGTGATGCAAGCCACCACGATTTAACAAAGACACTGTGTTTGATATTTCTACAATACGAATGAAAATAACTGATCCTTTTATGATCTTGCAAATCGCTTGACCCATGTAAGTTTCCCCTAGTACTCTGTCATCTTTTCCAAGTAAGAGAAAAATTAGAAACAGACTAAAAACGTAGACATACTCTTGGATGAAGAGGAAATGTTCAGCCTAGAAACAGATTACTGACTCTGAATCCAAAACTGGTTTAGGAAAATAAAGTTTCAAAGCCATGAAATCAAAACCGTCTTGGTCTCTAATTTGATGTAGTCAGGAGATTTTTGAAAATCAAGAACTTCTGGATCAGTTATTTTTAGCCATCTGTGCTTCACTGGAAATGGGCTATAGCACTCCAGACACCATGCTTGTATTGTTGTGAGTTAATCTTTTGGACAATTGCTTCTTTTCTTTTAAATTTCCCCAGGGTTACCAGATCCCACTAGAGGTTGAGATGCTTGTGAAGTGGTTTGGCGAGCCCTGAGCATGTGGTCATTTTAGTAAGAAAATAATCCTTTTATGATTCAGCCCTAGGCATGAGCAAAGCTCACTTTCCCCCTGACTCCAGTGTTATTTGAGAATTTATAAACAACCAAGTAATTCTGTGTAACTCAAGGACAGAGGTAAGGATCTAGCTTTAAGAAGGCAATGATAGATTTTCCTTCAGAAACTGTGTGTGTGTGTGAGAGAGAGAGAGAGGGGGGAGGGGGGAGAGAGAGAGACGTTCCATCTAAAAGGCCTCATTTATGTGTCACACCGACATAGTAGACTCCTTGGCTGTAAGCATCATCTGTCTCTCCTATTAACTCTTTCTTTGTGGACTGGTTCAAACGTCTATTTTCCACTCCAAGGAGAACACATGATTAGGTCTGGTCAATCAGAATACCATATCCCATTAGGTAATGGGTCAATGATGGAATCATGACTTAAGCTGGGTCAAGGAGAGTCTTCCCTGGAGTTGTCACTGCACTTGGTTAGAGGCATTCTGACCAAATGGGAGCATCATTACCCTTGCCTGTGAAACTACAACCCAGAAGAAGAGCTGGGGAATTCAGAAACTGCTGAAGATTGTGCTGATTACTTCGTCATGGCTTGGGTCCATCCATATCCCTGTATTTCCTAGTGTCAGGTTATTCTGGCAGCCAGAAGAGCCTCTGTCCATTGAATTATTTTTCTGGGAATCGCAACAATTGGCCAGGGCAAAGAATGAAATACGGTTAGGGGATCTTCCCTGAATGAGAGACTGACAAAGATCAAATTTAGGAACTGAGCTTCAATTTAGTAATTAAATAGTTCATGCTGCCAGAAAAACAAACAACATGGTTTTATTAGTTGAGTCATGTTGTAATGTTAAATGTGAGAAATTGCTTTGTAAATTAGTGCAGGCTGGTCTACATTCTTCAGAATGAATTTGAAGTCATATAAAATAGGCTGAATAATATCATTTCCCCCAGCCCTCCAGAAAAGTGTCTGCTTATTCACCCCCCCCCCGGAAGTGTTATTGTTATACAGCAAAACGGACTTTGCCAAGGTGATTGAGTAAAGACTTTTGAGACAGTAGGTGCTAAATGTAATGAGTCAGGTAAGAGGCTTCTTAGAGGAAGATCAAGGAAGGAAGGAGGTAGCGTGCCAATGGAGACAGTGTGGAGTGATGTGGCCATGAGCCAAGGAACACAACAGCTTTTAGAAGCAGGAAACAAGCAGTGGCTTCTGTGGGCCCTGCAGAAGGGACCTGCTCTGCTCTCAGCATCCCACTCAGACTTCCAGCCTCTCCAACGGTAACAGAATCACTAGGTGATCTTAAGCTACATGCTTTTTGGTAATCTGTTGCAGCAGCCATAGAAGACCACTTTTAATGCAACCACTTTCAGTGAAATAGGTACTTTTGAAATGCATCACCTCCTGAACTGCTGGCAGCCACAGGGTGGCCGCAGGGTGGCCTCATCCCTGAGTCAATTAGAAGGTAAAGATGGGGATTTCCCGGTGAGTTGAATTCTCTGATAGGATCATCAGGTTCAAATTATACCATGGGGCTCATGAACACAACTGATTGCCGGAGTGGGGCCACTCTGGAATTCTTGGGAGGAAGTCAGCTGATTCCCCAGCCAAGCTGCAATGCTGATGGACAGGAAGTGACACTTCCCCTTGGGAGACTGTGTGCCACTCAGGAAACCATTTCCTGTCAGTTGAAGTGCCTTTTAATAGCTGGGAAAAGCTTGGGAAAATCAAGTGGTGAGACATGGAAAAAGGTTTCTTAGTTTATTTACTTTGGCTCTCTGCAATGTTCTCAAGCTCCAGCAGATGGGTGACTCTGGAGAAAACAGAAGTAATTGCAATTAAAGGCATCCTTGATCGACTCTTTGAGAAGTCACATTGCCTGATGCTACACGTGAGAGAAGTTCTGAGAGAGAGGAACAAGAAATAGAAGACGAGTCACAACCTTGGGCCTGTATTCCAACATAGACCTGCTACGTTGAACATTCATGTAGCGTCCAAATCCATCTGAATCCTTCTCACCCAGGTAGGAAAGCAAGCTAGATGCTCACCTTTAATTTAGAAGCCATCTTATGTCCTGGGATGGACATTGTGACACAGTGGGTTAAACAGTCCCTTATAATGTCTTCATCCTAGAGAGACCTGAGATGGGTTTCTGCCTTTGCTTCCGATCTAATGTGCACCCTGGGGAGCAGCAGATGTTGGCTCAAGTACTTGGGCCCATGCCACCCATGTGAGAGACATTCAGATGGAATTCTGGGCTCCTCCCAGCTTTGGCGTGGCCCAGATGGAGTCAATCTCCCTCTCTTTTGCTCCATCAGTAACGCTGCCTTTGAAATAAATACATAAGAACATATCAAAAATAACATATTAGAAATATTTTAAATATATTTTAAGAATTCTGTGTCTTGAACTCATAAGCTGGAAACACTGAGGAGCCTTCAGTGAAAATCGGGGGTCTATGGACTTCATTCATTTAGGTTTCTCTTGGCTTTCTAGCTAACCTAGGGTTGCAAAGAATGGCTAGGTTGACAGAGTTTAATGCGAAGGAAAGTGTTTTGAAGAGATTAAACTAACAAAAAAAATCAAAATCCATGAGATATAGTTTCTGCTGATCTTTATTGGTGAGATATGCCTTTTGTAGGCAACAAATAGATGTTTTCTTTTTTTAATCCAGTCTACTAATCTATGATGTTTGATTGAGTTCAAGCCATTTACATTCAGGGTTAACACGAATGGGTGATAATTTGGTCCTGTCATTTTAGCAATGGGTTGCTCATTGAGTCAGTCTTGTGTTGTTATTTTACGGGGGTGTTCTTCCCGTTTGCCTTTGGTTTTGGTAGGTGCTATTCCTCTTCTCTGTCAAGAGAACATCTTTACGTGTCTTTTGTAGGGCATGTTTGGAAGAGGCACGAGCTGCTTTTTTGGAGCATTCTGAAACTTGTACAGACAAGGTCTGGCCAGGACATAGATAACTAGAATTTCTCCAAAGTCAGTAAAGTACTCCATGTGACCCTCTTGGTTTCCAGACTGTGTGCATTTTAACCCGCACATCTCCTCCATGATGAAAGGCTATTGTTATGCTTTCTAGTCCATGGAGAGAAAGCTGGAGGCACAAGAAGCCCTCAGCTGGTTGTAGGTTAATGGCTGTGAGGACCAGAATGGGAAGGGAAGTGAAGGTACCTCTCCAATATATACATGCATGCCTTCGAACAGCCGGGGCGTCTGCCTCCTGGCTGGCTTCCTCTTTCAAGCAAATCCTTCCTTAAACGACAAGCAGAGGAAGGACAGCTGCCCCAGCCCTCCTTGAGCATGGTCTTGGACACCCCAGGCTCTGGCTGCTTGAGTGGGGTCTGTCCTACTATGGTGGGGTTCTGAGGTGGGCATTCATAAGAAAGCAGGCAGCCGTGACAGCCCAAACATGCTTTCTGCTGGAGCGAGGGTTGTTTGACTCTTAAGGGAGTGTGATTCTGTCTGGGGTTCTACCAGTTCGAATCAATTTAGCAAGCATCCCCCTTTCCCCTCTGAATTGTGTAGGATGCTATTCTAAACTTAGACCAGCAGAACCTCCTTGCAGGCCTTTTTATTTCCTGCACACTGTGGGCGAGGCAGCCCCTGTCAGCTACAGCCCTGTACAGTCCTGCGGATTTTGCTGCCTCTTCCATCTTGGGAGAGCAGCCCAGAGGAGTTTCTTCCAAGGGTGGCCAGCAGCTCCTTGCTTCCACTCCCAAGCTCTCAGACCCACCCCTGGACACTGCCTGCACCTTGGCTTGGAGAACAGCTCCTGGATCTTGCCATACTTCTGAATTGTTGAGGAATTCACAGATGCTGCAGTTACTGCTCTGGCCCTCTGGGTGTATTTCTGAGACAAACTGAGGCTTAGAGTACAGCTTGGTGGGAAAAGTGCTGGCTGGGATGCTGAGGCATAGCCCCATTTGCTGGGAAGAACATGGATGGGAAGCAGATACCAAGAAGGGATTCATCCCAGGGACATAGGTGCTAAGATGTTCACACACATGATTCTGTAAGGTAAGAAGATCCAAATGAGAGACAGACAGCCCAGCATGGCAGCATGGAGAGGCTGCTGGGTCCAGGAGAGTGTGCTAGGAGTGGGACCTAACACTGACAGGGAGTCCTGCAGGGCAGGGGCTGCCAGGCCCTGGAGGGTGGGCCTTTCTAGGGTCCTGGAGAACAAGGGGACAGTGAGTATCCCTCACCCGTGCCCACTGGATTGCTGGCTTCCTGTCCTCCACCCTCTTCTCTTCCTGTCCTGCCCCTTTCTCTTTCTTTGGCCTTCTTTTGTATGCTCTGTTGAGGTTTCCTCTGTAAAATCCTGTCAATGTCCCTTTAGCTAAGGCTACTCATCAAGATCACAATTTGTGTTGTATTTCTCCAGGAAAAACACTGCTTTGTTCGGGGTAAAAGAATCCCACCCAGTTCTTGGCCAGTCGCCATATTTCTTCCAGTTTTGTCCTTCACAGTTGGCAGCATGGCCAGGGCTCTGACCCTTCTCCAAGCCTGTCTAGGCGGGGGTCATAAGGTTGCAAGAGTTTGGATAATCGTTCTGCTACCAATCCCATGCTCTCCACCTGCCTTTTGTCCCCACTACCAACGGAGGCCCCCACAGCAGGCGGTCATGAGAACCCATGGCTCTTATCCCTGCAGGAAGACGCTGGGATGGGCTGCTTCAGCGCTGTGTCCCTGCAGCCCTGAGTCACTCCTCAAGTCCCAGGAGGCCGAGGCCATTCTTCCTGACTCCTACAGGGCCCAGAATGTCCCCTCCTCTTACACAAGCTCCCAAGAACTCCCCCAGAGACTGCTCTGATATCTAGGATATTTGGAACTTGAACTTGTAATGCACCTTAAGAGAAGAGCACTGAAGGTAGGGCAAAGTGCAAGACAAAATAAGGGGATTAACTCTTCCAGATGGCCAATCGTGGGAGGGTAAATGAATGGGGAAAGAAGATGGACGAAGGGTCATTTGAAATGTGTTATATAGATTCCTCTGGTGCTTCTCCAGGATGGCGATTAAGTTCTATCCTGAAGCTGATGCTGTGATGCACCGGGTTGACCTGTTACCTGCAGCACTTATGTCCCAAATGAGCATTTGCTCAGGTCCAGCTGCTCCATTACTGAGCTAGGTGCTTGCTGATATAGCTGGTCAAGTAACCCGAGTGATTGGCTCCTTGTACTCACATGGATGGAGGTCCTGGTTTTTTTTAGAAAGTCAGATACACAGAGAGGAGGAGAGACAGAGAGGAAGATTTTCTGTCTGATGATTCACTTCCCAAGTGGCTGCAATGGCTGGAGCTGCATCAATCCGAAGCCAGGAGCCCGGAGCCTCCTCCAGGTCTCCCACACAGGTGCAGGGTCCCAACTCAATTTTCTGGGATTTTTAATGGGATGGGAATTTGTGCCTACTGATTTATGTTTTAAAGCATGATCTTTAGAGAACCGTTGCCATAGCACAGATAGCTATTAGTATAATTGAATAAGTAACCTTGAATCAAAACTTAAAACCATTTGATATCTTTGCAGGAAACTCACTTTTGCTTCAAAAGTGTTTCAATGACTTGGCGTGCCAATGGATACAGAATGACATGTCTCCATCTGCATTCCGTTCCACTCCTCCCACTTCCTAATTCCGCTGATTCTCGAGATCTCCAATGTGATTTTTGTCTCACTCATTCTTCACAGCAAAATTCTGTGATTGCTGGGGTGGCCTGTTCCATATGCATCTCCTGTCTCCCAAGCTAACATTAGTCTTGTTTCATTTACTCAGTTTCCAGTGCTGAATGTGTACAGATGGTCTGGAATAAGTAGCTCAGGTGGCTCAAAGAATGCAATGCTAAGGAGATTATGGGTGTCTGGTGTCTCTGTTGGCCAGAAGGATTTGCAAAGGGACATGATTAGTAATCACAAGTTGAGCAGAAATTAAGAAAATGAATTCAGAATTTAAAAGAAGACTTGATTTACTGAGAACTGTATGACAGGGAGGAAAAAGAAAAGATCTTGCTAGCCAGCAGCTAGGCAAGCATCACAACCCACCAAAAATGCTATTGGAAAGGTGATACTGATAATAGTGATGGGGGGTCTAGAATACCAATACTATAATACATACCAATGCATATTATAATAACTATGGTTATTTGTAACTTTAATATCTGAATCCATAGTGTCTTTCTTACTATAAATGCCTTAATTCCTTCATCTCTAGGATACTGAAGGAACAACCCATGTAGGTGTGTAGGTGTGCCTGGTGCTTGGTGCAACCCAAATGTCAGTCTCCTAAGTGTCTCATGCCTTTTTGGCTTCTGTGAATTACCTCTCTCTGAGGTTCTTCAATAAAAAGATCTTGAGAAAAAAAAAAAGAGAGAAAAAACCTACACCTGATCTCTACACAGGCCGACAGCCAAGGAACGTATCACTTCAGCTGGTGCAGCAGAACATGTTGGCAAAAACTGACAGAGGAAGGCACGGTGGTGGGTAAGCTTGTCCTTCATTGAAAACCCCACTCTAGCCACTGCAAATGCCTCTAGCGAGGCAGCACGCGAGGGAGGCCCAAACCTGAGGCACAGAGTAAGCTGCATGACTGGAGAAGCACCCTCCCTCTGTCAGTGTCGGGGCGACCATCCAACAGCCATTCGTGGGGCAAAATCCTGGGTTGAGCCTTACCCTTAGGATTCAGTGTTTATTTCTGGAGAAGTACTAGTCTCTCCTGGGGATGGCCAGGGACCTGGTGTTCAAGCCTTGTAACTACTGTATAATATGGCCAGTCGGCAGTAGGATTCACCACATCCACTTCTGGCCACAAGGGAAACACCTGCTTTTTGTTGGCATGGTTGGAGGGCTGGAGTCCAAGTCTGTTGTTGATTAGAATTAATCATTTTCAGCAAAGGGCCATAGCTGGACTCCATGAGGTGTGCAGAAAGCCAACTCTTTCTCCAGGAGGGCGGCTGTAGGAATCAATTTGGACAACTTTTCCTTGTAAGTAGAAGAGACTTGGTCTGTAATTCAGAGAAAAGCATTCTGCAATGAATGAGAATTTTCCATTGTTTAAGACCTCTTGCTCCACTGACATGTGACAGAAAGCCCTTCTGACAGGACCAAGGCTTTGTCCACACGACACGAGTAGAGGCGCTCCTTGATGCTGATGGCACTGCTCTGAGAACACAGGGCTTTCCCTTTTCCTTGCCTCCAGACTGGGGAACTAAGTTGCAATTCAGCTTTCATGAGAGAGGAGGCCACACAACCCTTGAGCAGAATGTTAGCACGACCTGGGTCCATGAGCAGTTGTGAGGGGCAGGAGGCCCAGGCCACTGGGAAGGCTACCCAAATCTTCATTCCTCTGCCACTCACTGCATCTCTGTTCAAGCAATGTAGCCTTCATGATGATTTCATTATGACATTAATTACAAATTATTTTTGAGGTGGGGGAAAAATCTTCCCTACCTTTCTAGGCTCTGTGCCCAAAGTCCCATACATGTGGTTGGCAAAAGGCAGATTCAACAAAAGTTTCTCAACATGCAGGCGCACTCAGGAACTCAGTGGAATGGTGGTGTGGTATGTTCAGACTCACTCTCCAGGTGTCTCCCTCAGCCCTCACTGTCCCTGCCTGTCCTTTGCCAAAGGGAATCCATCAGACTGAGGGAGTGATGCAGCTCGTGCCACCAAGTTCTAATCCCCAGGCTCAAGAAGCCATTTGCTTCTCCCAAAGATAAACCCCATTGGCCACTGTCACCTGGAGGGGAATTCCAGACCCAGGCATGGAAATCCCACGTAATGCCTCAGATCAGGTGAACCTCCTCGGTCACTGTAGCAATTCCCTATTGAGCATGTCATCTCTGCCTGAACAAGCACTAATCTGAGACGAGCTGAACAGACACCTGCTATCTATCAGAACTTTCTCTCTCAACTACCCCAGAAGCCTGGTAATTAACCAATAGTCTATTACCTTGCTCTGTACTTTGCAACAGGTACTACTGGCTTCCATCACCCCCATGCCAGTGACTGGTTTTCTGCTTGTCTGTCTCATGCACTCAGATTTGGCAGTTCCACAGCAACACCTGTAAGTAGTTGGGAGCTGTTCGGCAAATGTTGGGTCATTTGAAATGTGTTATGTAGATTCCTCTGGTACTTCTCCAGGATGGCGATTAAGTTCTATCCTTTGTGGTGGAAAGCAGAGGGTGACATATGTATGTATTTATGACCATTTTTCAGGCAAATGGAAAGAGGATATAGAGCTCTTTTTGTGTCTGTTCCTTTCTAATTTTGAGTTTCCAGGTTTTTTAAAAAAAAAAAATCCTTCTAAAGTGACAAATTTGGGATGGCACATTTGCTGCTCTTCCTTAACAACAGTGGATAGTGAAAAACCAGATAATATAGACTGGACAACGGTGCTATTTTTGTACATCATGGCATAAGGCTTGATAAAACTTTTACTTGAGGGCCCAGCGCAGTGGCCGCAGATAAAGTCCTCGCCTTGAACTTGCCAGGATCCCATATGGGCACTGGTTCTAATCCCAGCTGCTCCACTTCCCATCCAGCTCCTTGCTTGTGGCCTGGGAAAGCAGTCCAGGACAGCCCAAAGCCTTAGGTCCCTGCACCCACGTGGACCGTGACTGTGGCCTGGCTCAGATAGGGGAGTCGTGTGTGTTGGAGCAGTAGTCCAGTGTTTATAATCTCTCTTTCTCAGCTGCTCTGCCTTTCAAATAGAGAAACAGATCTTTTATTTTTTTATAAAAAGCAAATAATAAGAGAAGACAAGAGAAGAATCCAGAGAATAAGAAATAGAGCATGTGCAGCTTTCGTGCTGGGATTAACGCTCCCCCTGTACCATGGAAAGGTGGTGTGGGCACACAGTGAACAGGTGGCTCTGTGTGGGAAACACGCCCACTGAGACCACCTATCTACCAAAGGATAGACTCCGGACTCTGAAGGAAGCAGAAAGCAAGGTGTCAGCTCCTTCCCCCACCCCAGGAGAGCAGTGAGGAGCTGGCAGGAGCAGGTAGAATTTTCAGGCATTCTCTTCCATGTCTCCCTGCCGTGCCAAGTTCCCTCCTCCTTTTTCATTGGTTGAGAAAGCTGAGGTGCAGTCTAGCCTGGGGTGCCCGATGTGGGGAAGAGTAATAATTCTGGATAGCATGCTCATGTTAAAACAAAACAAATGCTACCAAAAGAGTGGATTTGTAAACTTGGCGGGCCCTCAACTAGCTACCGGCTTTGGTCTACATCAGCACCACCAGATAACACATTTATATTGTTTACAACAAAACCTGTCAAACAATGCGGGAGTCAACACCAGTTCACGGAACAGAGTATACAGATACAAAAACCCCACTCAGATTCTTAGGACACTGTTAGTAAAATTGTTTGACTAATGAACCAACTTAGGGACTGGTGCTGGGGCATAGCTAGTGAAGCTACAACCTGTGCTGTGAGTGTTCTCCTTGGGTTATAACCCAGATGCCTGTTCCGTTCGTGACCCAGGTCCTTGCTAATGGCCTGGGAAGAGCAACAGAAGATGATGGTTCAAGTGCTTGGGCCCCTGTTGCCCACTTGGAAGACCTGCCTTGGCCATTACAGCCACCTGGGGAGTGAGCCAGCCAGTACAAAATTTCTCACTGCGTGTCTCTCCTTCTCTCTCTGTGAAACTGTTTCAAATAAATTATTTTTTTACAAAAGGGAAAAGCAACCAGCCTACCCTGAAGAAAATAAACACAAGTTTTTCTGAACTCTCATGGTGTGCAGCTGAGACAGACTTTGGAAAATAACCAAGAGAAAAACAAGAACAAAGCAAGTTTACTCACATAAGCAACATGCACTACACTGGAAAAAAAGACCCACAAAGCACTGGCTTAGCAATCTATTCTCAGTCAGACCTCAGCAAAGAGCGATGCATTTCAGAGAGAAAGCATGACCAAGGAAAAGCTGTTACGGTCTTCAGAGAAAGGAAAAACTGTGAGGCGTATGGAAGGAAGTCTGCTTAGAAAATTGTACTCCAAAACTCACTACTTTGGCAAGCCGAACACTGTGGAATGAAAAGAAACTGGAAGACCTTAGAAAATATCTCAGAATCAAGGACTTGCTAACCTTCTCTTGCTTTTCTCTGCCAAGTTCAGGGAAGCACTCTCTTCGGGGAATTCACTTACCTGACTGAGGAAAATCCTTCCAGCAGAAATGTAATTATCTTACTGCCCCTCCTGAGGAATCTCATTGAATAACCAGCCTTGATAACCCACCCGGCAGGAGGAGACAAGCTCACACCTGGCAGACCAAGGCAGGTCCGAGACATGACCTGCACAAGTCTGCCTTTGTTAGAGGTGAAATCTCCTCTTCTCCCAGGCCTGGAACTGCTGCCACGTCCTGCAGCACCCCCAAGCCCGTGTCGCCAACAGCCTCCGGCCTCCCTGACAAGGCCTCCGTCGGAGGGTCTGGACCGCTGCACTCAGTGGGCTTCTCACCCCAAGGTGTCTTCTTTGCTCACCGTCCGTGTCCAAGTGGAAATGCTTCTTTGACATGAGACAAACACTGAGGTCACCTTCTTCACTCTGTGCCACTTCCACAGGGCTGTCACACATGATTTACACCCTGCCCAGAACATTCTCTGGCCCTCTCTCCCAAGCTGCACCTCTGCTTAATTCATACTCCCTAGAACAGAAGCGCCTGTAGGTAAAGATCACATTTGTTGTACTCATCTTTGTACCCCTAATGCCCAGCACACTGCCCACTATTTCAACAGGAGGTTTTGAAATATCCATTGAGCTGGCAACACACCCAAATGTCAATATTTACTAGGTCGTTTGAAATGTAAGAGAGATCAGTACCAGAAAAATACATTTGGGGATCATCCTAACAGCGCTGATACCGGCAGAAAGGAAAATGAACAGGTTCCCACTAGATAAGGTGTGTGAAAAATAGAAGAGACTGGGCCCGGCGCAGTAGCCTAGTGGCTAAAGTCCTTACCTTCCATGCACTGGGATCCCATATGGGCACTGGTTCATTTGGGCCTGGGGGTCCCACTTCCCATCCAGCTCCCTGCTTGCAGTCTGGGAAGGCAGTCGACAATGGCCCAAAGCCTTGGGACCCTGTACCTGCACAGGAGATTCGGAAGAGGCTCCTGGCTCCTGGCTTCAGACCGCACAGCTCCAGCCGCTGCAGCCACTTGGGGAGTGAATCAGTGGATGGAGGATCTTTCTCTCCTTCTCTCTGTAGATCTGCCTCTCAAATAAAAATAAATAAGTGTTAAAAAAAAATTTCCCCCCTCAGTCAGTAACTACCTTAACTCCATCTATGCCTGTTTTTTTTTTTTTTTTAAAAAACAACTCTCAACTATCTGGTGTAATGATGGACACTTAGGCCAGTAGCATGCTATGCTGGGCTGCTTTGCTTTGAGTCCTGGCTCAGCTTCAACACCAACTTCCTGTTGCTGTACATCATAGGAGACAGCAGGTGATGGCTTTGTTACTGGTCCCTGCTGCCTTGTGGGAGAGCAGGACTCTGGCTCCTGCCTCGGGCCTGGCCCAGCCCCAGCCGACATCTGAGAAGTGACTCAGCAGAAGGGAGGCCTGGGTCTCAGTGTGTGCTTGTATTTCTACCTTTCAAAATCAACAAACAAATAAAGCAAGCTCTCCAGTTCTGCCTCACACAGAGCCACCTCTATGAACTCTGACTTCCCAGTGAGCATTCCCAAGCATTGCTCCCGTGGGAGTGGGCGTTTACAGGCGGAGTGGGCTCCTCAAAAATATGGATGAGCTTGGCGTAACTGGCCCCATCTCACCACGCTCAGCTGTCCTGTCACCACATCACGACCCGGAGCAAAAGCCCTTGCCAGATGGCACACCAGGCTGTTGGACTTGCCAGAACTGTGAATTCAATCAATCTATGAGGAATGGTCAAGTCTGTGCTATTCTGTTACGGCAGAAGGAAGTGGACGGAGTCCCACAGAGCAGAGGCTGTTTTCCCGTGCGTCCTCCACAGTGCCTGGCGCACAGGCCCCTTCTCTGGCGGGGTTTCTAGATTTCTCATTTTCTAGAGACTCGCGTATGTTCTGTTTTCTCCCTCTTCGATTTCTGTCCAATGCCGTCTGATTCTGTTCTTTCCATCCTGCCACTTGAGGCCTGGATATCATAATCAACATGTGCTGATAGGACACACATTCAGTTCAAGAAGATGGAAAGAAGTTGATACTTTGCTTGAGTTTGCAGGAACTCTTTAGTCTGTGGATGAAAGGTTTCCTATTTTGAAAATGCGAGAGGCAATAGTTACAATTGTCTTCAAGGTGTGCGTGGTGCATAATCCGAGCGATGGTGTTGGGATGCACTGGCCTGATTCTTGCGTTCTTCCAGCAGTGTGCAAAGGAGACAGACTCAGGCACTCAGCTACATATCCACGTCTTCACCCCATGTTGCTGTAGCCAGCCTTAAGTTGCTACCACAAAGCAGATGGAGCACAGGCTCAGAGGTCTGCTTTTTCGGGGTTCAAGGCTGACTAACCCTTACATAACTGGACCCTGATCTCAAAGAACGGGTTAAAGACAGCCAAGTCAGTGTCCCAGGGGTTAGGGACTCCTGCAGCTGGACTTGTGCTGTGTGCAGGAAGGGCTATCCAGGAAGTAGTACTTTCTCACTGCAGATCTGTCTGAGGGAGCCCCTGGTTGTAGGCACCATCCCTTTCTTTTTTCCCCTAAGGGCTTTGTTTGCAGCTGCTTTGAATGCCAAGCATGCCTTCTAAAAATAGCCGTCCCATTTTCTCGTGATTCCAACCAGGTTAGTCCGCGCGCTTCCCTGGCTCCCAGGAGGCCACATCCACATTAAGGTTTTGTTAACAAATCTTTGTGTTATTTTTTCTCCTCTCCAACTACGGTTGACCCACATTGCACTTCCTCTTCAGGGCGGTGGTGTGGTTAGCATGCAGTCTTCCCAAGCAGCAGTGAGGAGATGAAATGCCCACAGCTGAGCCCAGGCGTGATGGTAGGGACGCTGGGAGGCACTGGGAACCAGAGCAAACCTGTCAAGTGGCAAATGCGATGCCAAGGGACGGAGTCACTTTTTTTTTTTTTTTTAAGAAATGGAGGACTGTTGTTGGAAAGCTCAGTGTGCAGCACCAGGGGACAGGAACGTGAAGACAACGAGAGATCACAAGACGAAGAAACAGGAAGGATGCTGGAGAGGAATCTCGAGCGCATTTGAACTTCCTGTTTTAATGCTGTAAGGGTGAGACACATCTCTGTTGCTAGCGACTTCCAATGTGACGGTGACGTTTCTTCTCTCCCACACTTCTTCTTCCAACCCCCCACCACTTCCCCACAAAATAAAGCCATTATTAACGTGGGAGTGTGAAGCTGGTAATGAATTTTTGCCTAGATTTCAGGGAGCAGTTTAAGACTGAGGCAAATTTGCCACAGTCTAGATTTTACTTTTGGCCCATGTGTGCCGAGAATCCTAACTTGTGAGCACACAGAAGTTTTTTTGTTTTGTTTTGTTTTTGATGAGCTCCACTGAGGTATAACTGACATACAGAACCCTGCATGTATTTAATCCATATGGTTTGATGAGTCTGGACAGGACATAAGAGTACACCTGTGTTGACATTGTCACAATCAAGGAAATAGATGTACCCATCACCTCCCAACGCTTCCTCTGCCTCCTTGTTGTGTGTTTAGGGTGTTTCACAAGCGGTCTGGCTGCTTAACACATTGTTAGATGCACAGTGTTCACCACGGGCACTAGGCTGTATGCAGGGGGCTGTGACTCCATCCCATGGTAACCGCTGTTCTGGGTTTTTTTGTTGTTGTTGTTGTTCTAAAAGTTGAATATTTTAAAAAATATGTATTTTAACATTTCATTCAATTCGTGTATATTATTCAAGTGTATTCAAGAAACAGAAGGAGAGCGAGGGGGGGCTCATGGCCTGGGAAAGCAGCGCAGACCCAAGCGCTCGGGCCCTGCATCCGCACGGGGGACCCACCAGAAGCTGGTGGCTGCAGCCTGGCCAGCTCCCGCCACTGCGGCTCCCGGCGCGGGATTAAAGCAGCGGGTGCAGGAGGCCTCTCCTCGCCCTCTAAGTCTCCCTTTCAAATAACTGAAATAAAATCTTTTTTTTTAATAGTGAAAATTAAATGGACTTACTTACATGGGTCACCGTGACCCCAGAAGGCTTCGGCGCCCCCACTTGGAAGCCCAGCCGCGGAGACCCCCACAAACACAGCAACCACTGGCTGGCCTAACCTGGCTCCGGGGACAAAGCACCAGGACGGGCCGCCGCTCCCCGAGGATGCCAAGGCTACACCGGCGGGCCGCACAGAACCGGGTTAGAGGCCGGGCTGGGGCACGTCTACACCCGGCGGCCCCCTCAGAGCCCGGTTAGAGGCCAGGGGCACCGTCTACACCCGGCGGGCCGCACAGAGCCCGGGTCAGAGCCCGGTTAGAGGCCGGGCTGGGGCACCGTCTACACCCGGCGGCCCTCTCAGAGCCCGGTTAGAGGCCAGGGGCACCGTCTACACCCGGCGGGCCGCACAGAGCCCGGGTCAGAGCCCGGTTAGAGGCCGGGCTGGGGCACCGTCTACACCCGGCGGCCCTCTCAGAGCCGGGTCGGAGCCGGGCTAGGGCACGTCTACACCCGGCGGCCCTCTCAGAGCCGGGTCGGGCCCCGCTGCCCAGCACGGCCGGCAGGGAGCGCAGTGCGCCCTGCTGCTGCTGCGCCTGCGTCCACACCCGGAAGACGCGCCGGCCTGGCGTCGGGTCACCTCGGTCCCGCCCGGCGGAGACACCCGAGACGGAACATTGAACTGTCCCTCTCTCTGTACCTGCCCCCCAAGCGGATCAATAAAAGATGTTTCAAAAGAAAAAGTGCCGTGAGCCGAAGCAGGAGAACTAGTGGCATGTTGGGCCTGTGGGGTCGCGCGTGCAGCCGGCGGGGGTTCGGGCTACGCCGCCTGACACTCTGAGGAGAACAGAAGTCCTCCATCTATCATCTATCTATCTATCTATCTATCTATCTATCTATCTATCTATCTATCTATCTATCTATCTATCTATCTATCTATCTATCTATCATCTATCTATCTATCTATCTATCTATCTATCAGAATTACAGACAGCGGGAAGGACTAAGAGAGAAACGCTTTCCCGCACCGGGTCACTCCTCAAACGGCTTCAAGGCCGGCGCGTCTTCGGGTGCGGCCGCAGGCGCAGCAGCAGCAGGGCGCACTGCGCCCCCTGCCGGCCGTGCTGGGCAGCGGGGCCCGACCCGGCTCCGACCCGGCTCTGAGGGGGCCGCCGGGTGTAGACGGTGCCCCTGGCCTCTGACCCGGGCTCTGTGCGGCCCGCCGGGTGTAGACGTGCCCCAGCCCGGCCTCTGACCGGGCTCTGAGGGGGCCGCCGGGTGTAGACGGTGCCCCTGGCCTCTAATCCCGGGCTCTGTGAGGCCCGCCGGTGTAGCCTTGGCATCCTCGGGGAGCGGCGGCCCGTCCTGGTGCTTTGTCCCCGGAGCCAGGTTAGGCCAGCCAGTGGTTGCTGTGTTTGTGGGGGTCTCCGCGGCTGGGCTTCCAAGTGGGGGCGCCTCTCTGGCTTTACGTGTTGCCGTATGATCTGTCTGGGGTCACGGTGACCTGTGTAAGTAACTCCATTTAATTTTCTCTATTTTTTTCCTTTATAAAACTTTGTCTTAAAGTTTAAAATATTTATGTATTTATTTGAAAGAGAGAGAAAGGGAGAGATTTTCTATCCGTGGGTTCACTCCCCCGTTGCTGCAACTGCGGAGCTGGGCCAGGCCACGGTCAGGGACCAGGTCAAGGTCAGGAACCCGATGCTTCTGCCCACAGGGCTGCACGTGCATGCAGGGCCCTGAGCACTTGGCACCTGCCCTGCCGTTTTCCC